TCCTAATCAATTCTATGTTGTTAAAATATAATTTTGTAGATCTATGGCCTGTTGCAATGCCTATGGACCCCTCAATGCAGTTCTTGACTGCCCAGTGCCCAAAAATGCATGCTGAGGCTGTGTGCATGAAAAATGTGCCATATCACGAAGCTGTCAGCTTGCTGATGCACCTAGCAGTCGCCACATGCCGTGACATGGCTTTCTCTGTTGTGATGTTGTCACAATCACAATTCTGCAATAATCCCAGGTTAGCACACTGGGAGGGCATGAAAAGGATATTTAGATACCTTTTAGGCACAAAAGGGCTCACATTGACATTTGGAGGTGATAGGTATGGCCTTGAGGGCTATACAGATGCAGATGGTGCCTCACAGGAGCACTGGCATGCCATTTCTGGCTACACCTTCCTGCTCAATAGTGGAGTGATCTCCTGGGCCTCAAAGAAACAAGAACTCATTACTTTATCTACTACAGAAGCCAAGTATGTTGCTGCTACTCATGCTGCAAAAGAAGCCATCTGGCTTCATTGCCTTATCCAAGAACTTTTCCACCCACTCTCACTCCCAACCATAATCCATTGTGACAATCAGTCTGCAATTGTGCTTGCTCACCATGGCAATTACCATGCCCATACAAAACACATAGACATTCATTATCATTTTATACACTATGCTATTGATAATGGCTTGCTTCACCTCATCTACTGTCCTACTGGCAGTATGGTTGCAGATACCCTTACCAAGGCTCTTGCAAACATCAAAGCCAAGCACTTTGCTTATGAGCTTGGACTCCATGATGTTTGAGGGGGAGTGTTGTATATTCTGCCTTTCACATTATGCTTTCATCCACTTAGTATTATGGTACATGTTTAGCCATATTACATAATCACATAAGTTTTCACACTCAAGTAGCATAGTCAGACCTCAGTTGGCTACTTAACCCAACTGAGTATATATTCTACAGGCTCAACCCCCACCTCCACCAGAATTGGTAGGAGATGAGAATGAATGGGAAGTTGAGGCTATACTTAAACACAAACATGCATGGAAAGTCAAGTCATCATCTAAAGAGCCCAGTGCAACCCTGCAGCTAAAATACCTCTATCTCATCAGGTGGCTTGGTTACCTGCATTCCCAGAACAGTTGGGAAAGTGAGTACAACCTTATAAATGCCCCAGAGGTTCTTGGGGAGTACAAGCACATTCATGACCTCTGACCACTATGTCCTACACCCCCAACACTGAAAACCCTGGCTCTGATTACTTCGACAATGACTTCCATGCCAACATTGACAAACCCTATGACCCATCTCACCCCTACTTTAACTGCTATGCCAGCACCCCTCCTCACCTCTCAGAACCACCAGTATGCTCCCTATCCCCCTTGCTATCCCCCAACTCCTCATATAGCAGTACCTACCAACCCCTTCATAACTCCATTGCCTTGACCTTGTGCCCATATCCATACCCAGTCATCCACTTAGCCCCCATCTCTCAATGTGAATGTGCCTGCAAGGACACCCATAAGGGAAAGTCCAAGGCCAGAGAGGGGCCCTCAGAGCCTTGTGATGCCTCTTTCTGATCCTGCAACACCCCCCTGCTCTCCCAAGCTGCCTACAGATCACCAACCCCAGCCTCTCATCCTGGCTCATCTGCTCCAAGCCTTGCATCGCACCAGCTGCACTCCAGGCCCCTGCAGTTGCCCCCTCCACTCCTGCCACCTCAACAAACAGGTTGGCTCCTGAGGCAAGCCTCTTCCTCAGTTACATGCAGCTGCTTAATGACTTCAAGCACTGGGAATCACATGGCTGGAGAGCATGAGAACACCATGAGCATCTACAGATGCTGTCTATGGTCTTCCAAAGCTCAGAAGTAATCAGAAAGCACATCCATGACCAAGTCAGAACTGCAGAAGGAAGCTTCGAAGCCCATACATACAAAAACCTCGATCACAGCAACTCTTCCATCCTCCAAGAAGCCCTGAAAACACAGGAGGCCACTGTCAAGATCATCCATGAAGACTTCAGCCCCTCACTTATATCCTCCTTTCACTCCTTTCTTGACCAACCCCCCCTCAATGTCATGGTCCATGGGCTCTTCTCTCTGGCAAGTCAAACAGCACCTGGAAGATCAAGCCTTCCTTTGGATCCTGACAGAAAAGAAGCATGGACAGTTGCAGGAGGAGAAGCCAGTCACCAAGGGAGTGCACAACATGGATGAGGAGGAATATCAGAGGCTGGAAGAAATGTTGAACAGAGGTGTCATGATTGCTGGGAGAAGATTATACCAGGCCAAGGCTGAGAAAATTTCCAGGCCATCACAGATTCCCTCGCAGATGTCCCTTCAATGGGACTCCTTGTGACTGGCTCAACTTTTTTACTCAGGCCCAAGGAGATTCAGCAGGATGGGCCATCTTCTATGCTACTAAAACAACCTGACCTCTGCCATCTTGTCCCTTCATTCCAATCTCCATTGATTCCCTCAGCAAATGCGAACTTGGTGGGCTCATACCCCTTGATTGGCAGCATCCCCTGCATTAATTCACCTGTTACCGATGTTCATGCCTTGGACATTGGTCATCTGACTGCCCAGCTCACAGTGGCAACTAACAGTGAAATCTGCTCCTGGGTGGTCCAAGGCCTCTACCTGCACTCAGAGGACCTCAGGCCTTTGGGGGGGTGATGTTACATTGCACTGTAGGAAAAGTTCAAGTAGCTGTATGATATGAGCTAGATGGCTTTAGGAAACAACAATAAAATGAAGGGAATGAATTGCTCATCCCAAGGGATTCTGGACTGTTGAAACTAGAAGGTGGGACTCAGCACTTTGTAGTGGTAGTGATTCATGATGTGTGCAGCATGGTCTGCAGTGTAGTACTGGTGATGTGAGCAGTATGTGTAGTTTGTGCATAGCAGTATGCAAGATGTGTGGTGTAGACAAAGTGGAAAAGAAACTCATAGTGACCTTCCAAGTGCCAAAATGTATCATTCTGTACCTAAGTACAGGGCTTTATAGTCCAGGCAAACCCAGAACCTAAGTAAGACAGGGTACAAGTAAAGGAAAGCCACACAACAGCATGTACACACAAGACAGGCTGCAACAGAGACCAAGAGTATACTACTAACAAAAAAGGAACAGAGACCATGTTAAAAGAAAGAGTCTGAAGGAAGGGGAGCAACCAGAGCACAGCAGCCATGGGTATAGCATTGCATGAGAGGGAGCAAGGTAGGTGGGAAGGCAGTGCATGTACAGCAGTGGATGCAAGAGGTCTGGAAATGTAATGGTAGTCACACAATGGTCGATGATAGGGGCTTACACATCCAAGGAATGCAGATTCCTTACAGCACTCACATTTGTTTCCCTTTTTAGACTCTGTACTATACTGCTTGCACTCATCATGCTATCAAGTGATGATGTTCTGTTGCCTGCAAGCTGCTGCCTATGCAGTCAAGCTTGCATTCTGTACATTTCCCTTTATGTCTTGCCCCTGTTTACCCTGCATTGTACTATAACTGGACTGTGTCTGGTCACCCTTCCTTCCATGATCTGCTGGTGGCCCTGATCCATGTGGTCACATGACATGTGTACCCCTGGTACCCATTTACCCCTGTATGTCATATATGCAGTTTCCCCTCCTTCATCATATGTTCACCCCCAGTTCCCTCTGCTCCACAGACTTGGTTATACATGTAGTCCTGCTGTGCAGTGATTCACTATGACTCAATGATGCCATAGCTGGAACTCAGGTGTACATTTAAATGTTTTCAAATGTTTGTTACACAGTACCTCACATATGTATATAAACCTGCATGTATCGTACTGCTACCTCATTTGAAATCTACTTTGCAACCATCCTTCGCTCTGCTTGCTGTACCCACAAGGACTCAACAGTACAACTTCAGTTGGCCAAGACTAGTGTTCTGCTGCTAGTGAAGTTAAATTACACATCACCTCTCACACTGTCATGTGCTTGCACTTTGCACTTGATTCATGATGTGATATGAGTCATCAGCATAACAAAAGCACACTGGCCATTGCAGCTTTGTTCCAGTGGATTCAAAGATTGGATTTTTCTCCAACATGTGCACCCAGCAATCAAACATAGTGCAGCCCATCCTGCTCAGTGTATCAGGATGCATCAGTGATGGAAATGGACATGGCTCACCAGTATTCATGGCAGAAATCACAATCTGGCCAGCTCAGAGACAACTTGAAAAATTCATTACACTTCTGCCATTGATTGTAAGGGCCACAAAGAATCAGTGGTGATAGTAACCCAGAGAGAACATAGAGCCCCATGCTCATCCTCAAAAAAAAAGTGAGACTTGTAGATCATGTTCTTCTGACTCAGCATCTTGTCTGCCTTCAAGATCCTGCTGAATTTGAGCTTGTTCTCACCTTGACACTGCCAGCATGCATGCATGTGCAGAATACAATGCAAGCAGGTCACTGGTGTCCTGTTGTTGCAGTCACCCCACACACAGCATGTGGTGAGCATTGAACATTGGGATAGGCCAGCACTCAAGTCTTCATCAATAAGCATTGCCACATCAGTGCTCTTGCCTAAACAGGCTTCAGAGCAGCTGGAGCCAGCATTACCTCACCTGCACTCACATAGCCCTGCCTGTCTTGCTTTGAGTGACAGAAACCTCAATAGGGCCACTCAAAGTTAAATGCAGAAAAAACATGCAAGCAAACTCAAGTGCAGTTGAGTTGTGAGTTTGTGAGTGAATATTTAAGCTCCGACTGGAGATTCAAACTCCGCCGAAAAGCGTGCATGCTTATCAACAGAGGGATCTAGCAAGTGATAACAAACTGATAGCAAAGACAAACATCCACATTCATATGTACTACTACATGCTATTGTAGTGTGAATATGAAGTAGATGTATACATGGGGGGTGGGGGGGAGACAAGAATACAGCTAGGGGGGGGGAATGGGGATGCATACTAAGTGATGATCAATATTCTGTCATACACTGTTTTCAAAGTGGATAAACATCTTAAGTACTAGATGAAGGGCCTTGATCCTCACCACCAGCTACACCTTTTTGCAAGGCAAGGTTCTGAGCCCAAAGTTCCTCCAACTTGACAGTGAGCTTCATCTTCTCCAACTCTTGAGCCACCATCACCTCCTCATGTGCAAACAGCTCACATTGCATAGTAAGTTGGTGTTTGCGATCAGCCAAAAGAGTGGTGGCCTTCTGGTGAGTCCTCCAGTATCCATACTCAAGCCAGTGATGCTTGACCTCTGACCTATCCTGCTGCACCTGTTGAAACTGCTTAACAAAAGTTAATGACACAGATGTGAGGTCCAAAGAAAGCTTGTCAGTGGCAGTTTCCCATGCATGCTTACAGGATGGCTTTGATGACAGCTTGGAATTGCTGTCATCAGAGAAAGCAGTGACACTGGGGGGGGAAGATGATGAGAGACGAAGTGCTGAAAACATGTTGGATGAAGTGATGTCAGAGTTGGAAGACTCATCTGTATTTGGAGTGGAAGCTGACCAGTGTTTAAGGAGGGGTTGATCCTGCTCAAGGGATGGATGTGCTGGCTGGAGTTTTGGATGATGGGATATGAAGGGAGGGGGGTTGTTGTTCAAGCTAATAGAATTTGCCCTGTTAAAAGTAGAGGGGGGAGGAGGTATGACAGGAGACAACTCAGAAAAAACTCAGAAAAATTAAAGGATGGTGGGGGGGGCAAGCAAAAACTGCTCAGAATTAGCAGGGAGGGACAACAGCAACAACTGTTCAGAAAAATGGGGGAGATGCAATGGGTTGGCCAATGGAACAACAGGTGGTGGCAGCTCTCACTCAGAGAAGGGTGGGGAGGGGGATGGTATGGGAAACAATGGCATCTCAACATGTGACAAGGGGGGGTCACCATCAACATGCATCAGTTCAGAATCATCTGCAAAAAAGTCATCCTCTATTTCACCCTCTTCCAGCTGAGGTGAATTTGGCAGGCCTGCAGCAGGATCAATGGAATCTATGGACAGTGGGTTTGGCTGCAGCTTGAAGAGTTCAACCATGCACCTAGTGAAATCCTGCCCACTATCAGCAGCACTCCAGGTGCTGTTGTAGGCAGGATTTGTGCACCACCACCTGTGTCAAGAATGCATTTTGGAATTATGGTAGCCTCTCAGAGTTTTTCCCAGAGGGCTCAGAGTTTCTCCCTGACCCTCAGAATTAAATTCCAATATCACTACACTTACTAATTATGGTACTATAAATTTTCTGCACTGTTCTTTTCCACCTCAGTGACTTCTTTGGACACTGAGGTGAGCATACCTATACTTACATTCATTTACCTGGTACTGACATAGTGTAGATACTCATAACTTCATTAGGTACCAATACAGTGACTTCTTTGTACACTGAGATACTCATAACTTTGTTAGGTTATGAGCCCCACTCTTGCACTCTAATTCCAAAAGAGTTATTACACAGCAACAATACCCACTATGGCAAAAGACAATCATTCCTTACAAGTCTCAACCCTAAATGCAGATGGAAGCAACTGGCTATATTACAAGGCTCAGGTTGAATGGGCCATCAGTTCAAAAGGGCTGATTGGACACCTGACTGGCTTGGATGCAAAACCAGAGGACCCTTCAGCAGGAAAAGACTCCTCCTGGAAGCCCACAGCCATGGAGCAAAAACTTGTCAGCAAATACCCAGAAAAACTCTGGCAATGAGCAAAGGACAACAGATATGTCAAGCAAGTGATTGCTGTGTCACTCCTGGAATCATTGTTCCTTTGAGTTCTGAAGGAAGAGACTGCAAAGAGTATGTGGGGTGTCCTCACCAACCTTTTCCAAAACTGCTCTTGCATCATCACAATCAATCTTTGGAGAAAACTCCAAGAATCTCACTGTGCAGAAAAAGGCAATGTCCATGCTCACTTCAACAAGATGCATGCACTGTGTGAACAACTTGCTGCACTTGGACAGTCTATCACAGACAATGACTTCACAGCAATCATTCTCAGTTCACTTCCCACTTCATATGACTCCAACCTTGCAGCTACGACATCTTCAGCCCTAGTCATGCCAAAGGACCTATCTCCAGACTTTATAATCAAAGTAATTTCCAATGAATATGATAGGCACCAAATGCAGACAAAGAGAGGCAATTCTGGAAACTCCAGAAATTCCAAAGATGCAGCTTACTCAGTGAAGGATGGAAAGAAGTCCACTTGTGAAAATTGTGGAAAGAAAGGTCATGGCAGAGACCAATGCTGGGAAGAGGGTGGTGGAAATGCTGGGCAAGTGCCCAAGTGGTTCCAGAACAAGGGCAAAGGGAAAAAGAAGGAGAAAGGCTCTGGAAAAGCAGCCACTGCAGCCAGTGCATCAGCCAGCTTGAGCACACAGACCAGCACTGACTCTGAACCCAATGGAGTTTGGCTAGTGCACCCACAGGATGATGATTGACTAACAGAAATTGCAGAGGAAGAAATTCCAAACCCCCAGGATATTGTTGTTGACAAAGAAGATGCATACACAAACACCTTTAATCATGCCCTACTCACAGGTGAAAGCCTAAGTTCCACAGAGGAGACCATCCTGTTCAACTCTGGCACCTCATGTCATATGTCCTCCTACTGCAGCAAATTCCTCAACTATAAGCCAATCATCCCCAAACCTATTACTGCTGCTGACAACCACACCTTCCATGCCATCAGAAAAGGTGACCTTGCAATCTCACTCCCAAATGGCACTGCACAAACCCACATTTGACTCAAGGACATACTCTATGCTCCCAAGATGGGAATCATGCTCATTTCTGTTAGCAAACTTGATGTCACTGGGTATGTGGCATTATTCCAAGACAAGTGTTGTCAAATTTTCAATGCTCAGAAAAAGAAAGTAGCCAAAATTCCAATGCAAAAAGGCCTCTACTGCCTCAAATGAGCTTGTCATGCCTTTGCAGGCCTAGCCAAGGCCACAGAATCCTTAACCATGGAGGAGATACACATCAGGCTTGGCCATATCACTCCTGAAGCCATCCAGCACATGCTCAAGGACAGCACAATCACCAGAATTAAGCTGGATGAGGCACATTCTACCATGGGTGCATGCAATTCATGCGAATATGCCAAAGCAACTTGGAGGCCCATTGGAAAAGAGCACAAGCCACCCTGCCATGAATGCCTTGGTGACAAGATCCATACAGACCTTTGGGGACCTTCTCCAGCCCAAACCCCAGGCCACAGTCAATACTACATGTCATTCATGGATGACCACACTCATTACACCACCCTATTTTTGCAAAAGATGAAGGCTGAAACCTTCAAGTCCTACAAAGCTTACAAAGCATGGCTGAACATGCAATTTGACACCAAAGTCAAGCAACTTTGCTTGGATTGTGGGGGAGAATACCTTAGTGTGGAATTTTTGGAATATCTGAAATCCCAAGGCACAGAATGACACATAACCATCCATGATACCCCCAAACACAATGGAGTTGCAGAACAGCTCAACAGAACACTTGTTGAGCATGTGTGAGCAATGATTCATGCCAGCAGCTTACCCAATAACCTCTGGGGGGAGGCCATTATGCATGTGACTTGGCTCAAAAACTGCTCATCAACTTGTCATCTAGGCACCAAGACTCCCTATGAAATGCTCTACAACAGACCACCTGACCTCTCAAAAATCCCAGTCTGGGGATGTCATGTCAAGGTCCATGATACCTCCAGCTCCAAGCTAGACATGCAAGCCCAAGATGGACACTGGGTAGGTTTTGACCCTGAGAGCAATGGCCACCACATCTACTGGCCTGACACATGAGCAATCAGAATCAAATGAAGTGTCATTTTCAAGTGCTGAAATGTGTCCATACCACATGGTGTGCTGCTCGAGGGGGAGCAGGAGAATTCTGACACCTCAAATGGAAATTCTGAAGCCTCAGAACAAAATTCTGGAGCTGTTCAAGGAAATTCCAAGGCCACACAGACAGTTGAGCAACCCACTGAAGCAACTTTGGAAATTCCAAGACCAATTCTGGACCCACTGTAGGGAACAAGTTCAAGTTCCCTAGGAGAAGTCATCCTGGTTGGAAGAAAATAGGGGTTGGGGGATTTGTGTTTTATTTCTTGCTTTTGTTTTTGTGTTTGTACCACTGGACTTGGTGGTGAGCAGCCATGTTGCTGACTAAGCATGTGTGCTGTGTTCATGCGAGTTCAGTTTACCAAAGAAAACCAATTCATGTCACAGGCCCTCAGTAGTAGGGTGATTTCATCTCACATTTCAGTGAGTTTTTGAGAATAGAATTATTACTTTGGGGAGTACCCAAAGGGCCAGGAGGACTGGCAAGACATTTAGATCAGTAGGAAGACATCCCAGAGCTAAGTCTTCATTTTAGTTCGCATTTTTACCTTTTTACTACACCTTTCTTTCTCCACACAGGACCTCCCTTTTGGGTCAAGCACAAATACTTGCCCATTACTGATAATTACTATTTCTAGGTATCTTCTATTACCTATTCCTACACTGCTCAGAGAAAATTTTGAAACACCTCCACCTCAACCTTGTTCCACTCGCCAGCACTTCAAATCAGACTATATGAGGCACTTACATGCAGGTGAAGGGACTCATGATGGACACATCCCTCTCAACTTTGTAAAAGAACTCCAAGAGAGCAATAGCAACCCTAACAGCCCAAAATCCTGAGAGAATGCTACCTATGTATTCGATGATGAACTAGCTGCCAATGAAGATGACACTAACATTGTGTATGCTATGGTGGCAGGGATGGCTGAGGCCAAAGGGCTGGATCCATCTACAGAATGTGAGGCAAAATCCCAAGCTGACTGGCTGAAGTGGCAAAATGCCATAAATGTGGAATTACAGAGCCTAGAGGAAGCACACACCTGGGATGTTGTTGAGTGCCCAAAAGGTGCAAATGTCATAGGATGCAAATGGGTCTTCAAGACCAAATGCAATGCTACTGGGGAGATCAAGAAGTACAAGGCCAACCTAGTTGCTAAGGGCTACTCTCAGATACAGGGCATCAACTATGACAAAACCTATGCTCCTGTTGCAAGACTTGCATCACTTTGCACCATACTTGCAATTGCTGCACACAATGACTGGGACATTGATGTCTTTGATTTCCACTTGGCATTCCTAAATGGAAAACTTGGAGACAGGGAAGATGTCTACATGGAACTCCCTGAGGGCTACACTGCAGGGCAGAATTTTTCCCATCCAGTTGGGAAGCTAAATGTTGCATTATATGGCTCTAAACAAGGTGCACTTCACTGGTACCAGAAGCTATGTGCTACCCTTGCAGATCTTGGACTCACCAGGGCACACACAGACTGGGGAGTATTCTATGGTCACATAGGACCAGAAATTCTCATTCTTGCCAGCCATGTTGATGACTGTACTGTAACAGGCAGTTCCCCATCATTAATTCACTCATTTAAACAGGAGATCAGCACTTGTTTTAAAATCTCTGACTTAGGGCCCATCAGTTGGTTGCTTGGGATGAAGGTGACATGGAACAGAGAAGCCTGCACCATATCACTATCCCAGCAGTCCTACACCAAGGCCATCCTGATGAAATATAACCTCACCAACTGCAAGCCTGCCACAATTCTGATGGACCCTGGAATAAAACTATCTCACAGAGAAATTCTGCAGTCAGCCAAAGAAGCTGCATGCATGAAAAACATACCCTACTGTGCCACTGTAGGCTCCTTCATGCACCCTGCTGTTGGAACATGCCCAGACATCACATTTGCTGTCTCCACAGTCATGCAGTTCAATAATGCACCCAACATGACTCACTGGGAAGCCATATAATGAATCTACAGGTATATTGCAGGCACAAAAGCACTCACTTTGATGTTTGGAAATACAGAACAAGGCCTTGAGGGCTATGCTGGTGCAGATGGAGCTTCACAGGAGCATCAATGGGCTATCAGTGGATATGCATATCTACTGGATGGAGGAGCTATTAGTTGGGCTTCATGGAAACAAGAACTTGTCACACTCTCAACTGCAGAAGCAGAGTATGTTGCAGCAACTCATGCAGCCAAAGAGGGGAGGGCTTGTGGCTTCAACAACTCATTGGGGAAGTTTTCCAACCACTCAAACATCCTATCCCACTGTATTCCAACAGCCAATCTGCCATCATGCTCACCAAGGATGGCAGCTACCATGCTCACACCAAACACATTGATATATGATACCATTTCATTTTTTTTTGCTGTGGAAAACCATTCCTTTCATTTAATTTATTGTCCTACTGATGACATGGTTGCCAATACCCTTACCAAACCTTTACCTAGCATCAAGGTGAAACACTTCACATCTGCACTTGGACTATGTTCCAATTGAGGGGGAGTGTCAAGAATGTGTTTCAGAATTATGGTAGCCTCTTGGAGTTTTGCCCAGAGGGCTCAGAGTTTCTCCCTGACCCTCAGAATTAAATTCCAATGTCACTACACTTACTAATTACAGGACTATAAATTTTCTGCACTGTTCTTTTCCACCTCAGTGACTTCTTTGTACACTGAGGTGAGCATACCTATACTTACATTCATTTACCTGGTACTGATGTAGTGTAGATACTCATAACTTCATTAGGTACCAATACAGTGACTTGTTTGTACATTGAGATACTCATAACTTCATTAACCTGTGCAACTCACCCCACCAAGGAAACTCCCTCTCAATCATTGCTGATAACAGTCAGTAAACTAATGTCTTTAGGAATGAAATAGTCATGTACCAATTATATTTTTTGTGCTGTTGCTGCTTGCAAGATCCTTGTAGGTGTGCCTGGCACCCATCTGCCCAAGTAGCACATTCTGCTTTCAGTACTTTGTTTTTAAACTGTAATAGTTGAGCAGTGAATTTTTGTTTAAAAGATATCCACATACACATCAAGCCAACTATGGATCAGAGCAGCAAAAACAGCTGGATTGTCTTGAGCAAGGACTCAGAATTCAGGGGACTCATCAACCAAGAAGATCACTTTTGCAATCTTGATGTATATCACATTCTTCCCATGTCACAATTGTTGCTTAATCCTACCTTCCTCTCAAGCATCTTGTGTGGAGTCAGAAAACAACTTCTTCCACTCTGCTTCATGGGTCCTACACCACTTGATAAGGCAATTGGTCCATGCAGCATAAGTTTTCTCCCATATAACATGAGGGACCACTGCTTTTGTTGCTGATCTGGTGGGTTGTGATGTCAGGGGAGGAGCAGACAGCTCAGACTCCATGGCAGCTATGGACAATGTATTAGACAACAGCAGTCAGAGTTTGAATACTGATATTCTCAGCCAAAAACTCACCACAAACACCTGACAAACACCCAAGGAATTAGCTGAACCTCTAGCAACTTTGAGGTGTACTAATATAGGTTTGACAAACTCGACGACTTTTTGGACGACATATGCAATTGAGCACACCTGATATCTCGTACCATTCACCTGTTACACCATCTACCACCCAGCACAAAGCTTATCTTAAGTCAAAGTCCTGTACAATTTCCGGCATACTGCAGACCTTTGTGACGCTCGCATAGACATTAATCCTTCGCGATTCCTGTGCGCCCAGGAGCGCCTGGAGGGCTTTGGTATGCACATATGCAAAAGACTTTCGTAGCTTCAGGAACGCCATTGCTTATCGCTGGCAAAGCTGAGCAGCACGACGAAAGAGCAGGAAAGATAGCGCAAGGCAACAGTAAGGCAAGGCCTAGGCTCACGGTATGCAACCCATTAATGTAACATTCATTGTTCCAGAAGCAAGTTGTGTACCGTGCCAGAAGTATCGAAGGCGATAAATACAGTCACTTCCAGTCAGAACCTAACTAATAATAACTCGCGACAATCACACAATCAACATATCGGCACCCTCTCAGACAGAGCTCCTCGAAGAAAACCACGAGCCAAACCACTGGGGAATTGACGATATCCTTGTACCCGTAACACTAATCTCGTTCAACTGCATGTCTGCGTCTCTCACCTCTTCAGGGCTCAGTTGAGCGTCTTGCCCTACCAATCCGTTTACGATATCCAATGCTGAGTTCTGCGTATTGACGAATTGTTCGTGTCGGGCATCTAATGCGGTAGGAGGTTTCCACAAGCCCCCCTCCAAAAGCGAGACCCAACTCGGTACTTTTCCTGCATCACTTGCTTCATCCCACCTTGTAGTCACCAATCGCACGCGCTGTGAAGCGTTTCCCCCGCAAAACTCGCAGAACTTTGCGAGGTTTTCACGCACTGAGGTAGGCATGCGATGGTCGGTTGTGCGATGCGTGTAGACAACCCCTGCAATCTTCACGTGTTGCAAATACCTGTTATGTGTGTGCGCAAGTGGGGTAGGGTGAAGAGACGAAGACTTACTTGTTTCGTAGCCACTCAGCAACCCTTCCAAGAATATCTTGGTCCGATTTGGAAGCATCGTCGAACTCCGGTATGTCCACAATGACATAGCGTTTGCCCCGAGAGATGTCCAATACAAACTCCCGAACGGCTTGCATGGGAGAAGTGGGTCCATCTGCGCCATGATCCCCTTCATAACCCGTGAGTTTATTAACGAACTACAAAGCACGTTGTCAAGGAATCTGGTACGTGGAACGAAAGTTGTTTAGCTTACGTTTCTTTTCCCTGATCTCGTAGGTCCCATTACTCTGAGGATGAATGGAGTCAGTATTCCAAAACTGGCACACAAGACACGTACACGATAACAATGTCATTTCCTGGTTGAATCAAGCCACGGTTTCTGTTCAGTTTCGAACTCATTGTAAATGCTACACACGCACTGGGTGGAAGCTGGCAAGTTGATATCATTGACCTCCATTCTGCACAATTTAGAGTACGTGTACTGACCTCCCTAGTTTTCTCCACGACATCCTCCGTCCCGACGCGTGAGGATGGGTCCATCCGCGAGCAACGCAAGCATAGGTCCCACCATTCGTTTGTCATACGAGAACAGGTATCCTTGCTGGATGGCTGTTCGGGAGGCCCCTTGAGTATCCGGGATTCAACGGAGGTGATATTGTTCAGCTGATAATAGGGAACTTTCCGGGTAAAAAGTTGCTGCAAGAAATATGGCTTGGTGAACTACATCAAAAAGAGAAAGAGTCCCGACGCACCAAAGTCGTCATCGCAAAAGCCCAAATGTCAGTTTCCACGGTGAACCTCGGGTCTTGGGAACCCAAGGTATCTACCAACTCCGGAGCCATCCAACGCAATGAGCCCCCAACCTCACGGCTTACGGTCATGCTGAATGTGGAATTCTCCAGGATGGAAAGTCCAAAGTCTGTAAGAACGGCTCGACCATCAGAGGTGATCAGTACGTTGTCCTGTCTCACAATTATTACGTGAATTGCCAAGTTCGTTAACGAGACTTACGCCCTTCAAGTCACCGTGAATTATTCGACCATTCGGATGACTATGTAGGTAACGAAGTCCGAGAGCAATGTCTTTGATCTGAATCGCACCCCATCAGACATGAATTTAAATGTACACTGTTCAACTTACAAGAGGACGGGGATCTATGTCTGGATTTTGCACATAGTGACGGGCACTACCTCCATCCATCCACGGAGATACTAGTGACACCGTGAAGTCAAAGTCCAAGGTTATTCCAAGGGTGCTGAGGACATTTTGGTGCTTGAGCTTCGACCAGGTGTGTGCCTCCCTGAACATTCGCTAGATGTTCATCAATATGGGAGACGTAGCAATCCAGAAGCACTACCTTGGCAGTCTCCTCGTCTGGCACACCAAGGGCAGTCTTCACTGCCACCACCATGGCACTCCCGTCTGCGAGCTCCATTGTGCCACGAAATATCTTAGCCTGACCCCCCCTATTACATTGGCGATCACGTTTTATCAGACCACCAAGGTTGATGGCATACTTCTTGAAGGCCCGTTCGGCAATTGGGAGAAGAGTAGTGTTTGTTTCAGGGGTGGTTTCCATCGACCGATAAGTGACGGCAGTCAGAATGTGTGCTGAAGTTGCAGTAGGTTCAACTGGTATTATATCCAAGTGACTCTTGCTCGCGTGTAGCACACGCTATCAGGCAATGGGTATGGATTGATCACAGCATCTGGCGTTGGGTAATCGAAGCCCTGGAAGATGTCAGTTTCACAACAACGACAACAAAAATCCATGGAATTAACTCACACACGACGACCACAACTGCAATGTTATCGATGTGACTTGAACACAAGCCATCAGACATGAGGCTCCTAGTGCCAAGCTGTAGAGATCTCCAGTAGGGATGTCTCAGTAAGCGAGCGCTGCCATGTGTTTCGACCATCTTCACTGGCTTGCTCACAAGCGCTTTGAGCCTGCCGCACCGTATTCATCGTCCATCTGCCAAATGACTGAGTACCACCCCCGAGTAAAATATTGTGCAGTCTTCATAGAATCAACACACCAAGGCTTCCAGGATCTTCCGCCCAACTTTGTAAGTCTGATCCCGCACATTGTCAAGCACAGCGCTCCTTTTAGTGAACCACCGTGGACCCTGGACAGCTCTAAGCGCTTGGAGACACCTTTCAATACGAGTGGTGTAGAAAGTGCGGCGTGTATTTCAAATCGTCGTCCATGTGGTTCCCTGACTCGAGTTCTCCGTGTGTTACGGGCGGTAAAACATAGAACCTGCCGTTCTCAGAGTCATTCATCTGCAACACGCAGGGTTTCGATCAGCCAAGCCATCCATTAATGGAGAGGTGAGTAGTCATCTCCAACAAGATCAACGCCCTGGCTGCGAGACTAGGAGCGTGATATACACCAACCATGATTCCCACGTATGCAGAAATAGGCTGCCGGCCGCATCATGGATATGATACATCTGATGGACCGCTGTAACAGCAATTCTTGAGCGAGAAGCAAATCACGTCCTCGTGTTAAAAGCACGGGTTGGCAATCACACCTGTGCCAACACTAGAAGTGAAGGTATCAGTAGCAGGGTTGTGAGAATCTCACCCACATCACCCACCCACGTTCCTTCATCCTGCATGCCATACCCAGTGTATCGGTCATAAGGCCATGATGGTGTCACCGTCTAACTGAACTCAATTCGAAGTGGATCGAAGTGTAGGTAATACCTCTCGAAGTGGTATCGTCCACTTCTCCTGCGTACACCTGCGAAGTAGAGTAGGTCATCTCAAGTCCCAAAGTATATTATGATGTCAGTTTATCTAATTGATCGCGATGTCTCAAGGTCCAAGAATGGGAACCCCACCTTGCTGCACAAGCAGACCCTATTAAACCACGCGTCGCCCCTTCTTCAATGGCTGCTGTGCTCATGGTTTGATGCCATGGAAAATGGTGCATGTACAGTACGGCAGGCTCGGTGCTTGGTATCTAAGCGCGGCCTCAAGGCAAGAGCGTTGCAGAACTGACGGCATTGCTTGGTAGACTGATAGAAGCTGCTCCCACAGAAGCCCACTGATAGCCTGTCATCAAGGTTGGCTGCCCTAGGAGTCCGCATCAATGATCGTATCATACCTAAGTTTAATACCAGAAGCCACTGCTAGCTCTTTAATGACCGTGGGCGTCCATAGGCAATACTCACACGTTGAATTTTGATGGTTTTCTGTAACGTCTACTTGCCGCTTACATAAGAGGAGTGAACGTCGTCTGTGACAGTGGGCTACTGTTCGCCCAACAGTAGTGATCGCCGCCTAGCAGTCACCGCTGAGCTGGTGTTTCAGAGTACAGAATAAACAACATTAATGAGGGCGGTGAAAGTAGAAGATAGGACCCGTGGGGAGGGGCGGGGTAAATTTTCAGTCCACTGATCGAGATCCCTTCATGGCAGTGCCGTTCTGGCCAGCGACCTCGAGTTTCTGTTATTGCCGAGTGCCGAGGAGATTAGTATTGAGCGGTTTTACAACGTGTTCGCCAGCCCTTGGTTAAGGGTCGTGTGTCATATATGACCTGTACTTCCTGTCAAATGCGTATGTGCAGCGGAGTTGAAGTGGCACTGCAATCACTAGTACTGAAACAGTTTTGGAAGTTCTTCAAGCAGATTCCATGGCCATCGTGTGCTTGGTACCGTACCACAGGAGGGCATCTCAAATAGGTGAGTCCTGTGGGCGATTATATGCAAGGCTGGATTCTAAGATAGAAGCGTCGCATCCACTTGGGTTCCTATTACGCTCGAATGAATTCGGATATTTGGTGCTCAATTCAGTAAGCTTTCATCCACGAGGCGTGCACCCTTGTGTGCACCTACACGTATATAGCATAAATAATAGGCCGAAGTTTAAAACCTCGTCAAGCCCACGGTTGGTATCCCTCATCCTCGGATAGTTTGCAATGGTGTTGACAGGCAGCAGTTTTTATTTGACAGTGACATCGGGACACAATGGAACTACAGCAATTTCTTCGCCAACTGGCTGAAGGGGCCGGCAAGTATGCTCTCAGCCTTGACGGGCGCATAGAACGAGATCCAACGACATGTCTCCGAGTAGGCAATGCTTTGGTGTATCGTGGAAAGTTGCATCCAGACGGAAGGGTTGTAGCAATAAAAGCTGCCCTCGACGGTCCACAGGTGGACGAGAACGTCATCAAGGTAGTGATTTTGGATGATATTCCTTGCAATACTTATCGTCGTCCAGCGAATATTGGGGGAAGCATCCATCTGGTCAAAGCTAAAGCATCCAAATATCCTCGGCCTACTTGGGATAACTGTCGACTTCGATCTCGCGGTGTCGATCGTAACTAATTGGGTGGAAAGAGGCAATGCCAGTCGCTATGTACAAGAACGAGACAACGACCCGCGCCCGCTCGTAAGTTGCAAGATGTGATTTTCTTGTACATTTGATTAGGCGTGGTTCAGGTCAAAGACATCGCTCTTGGTCTTCGTTACCTACATAGTCATCCAGATGGTCCGATAGTTCATGGTAGTTTGAGAGGTGTAAGTCCTCCTTGATGGACTTTGCCAATCCAATTATTCATGTGCTAGACAGGAAAACGTGCTTATCACCGATGACGGCCGGGCCGTTCTCACAGACTTCGGACTTTCCTTTCTTTACAACTCAGCATTCGCTATGACCACAAGTCCTCTGGCTGGTGGCACGTTGCGTTGGATGGCTCCGGAACTGGTGAGTGTGATGCCCACAGAAGACCCCCAACCCACCGTAGAAGGTGATATTTGGGCTTTAGGAATGACAGCATTGGTGTGTCAAGAGCCGTTTCCCTGTGATCAAGCTTGCGATGACAGCACTTTTTTAGGAGCTCTTCACCCGGAAACTTCCCTATCATAACCTGACCAATATCGGTGCCATTCAATCACGAATACTCTCGAGACCGCCAGAACGACCCTCCGATAAGGATACTCTGGCCCGCATGACAGACAAATGGTGGGCCCTATGTTCGCGTTGCTTGAGGATGAACCCAGCTTTGCGCATTGGAGCAGAGGATGCCGTGAAAGAAACTAGGGAGGTCAGTACACGTGTTTTACCTTGTGCAGAATGGAAACCGATGACACCACCCCGCCAGCTTCCACCCAGTGCGTGTTTTGTACTTCTTTTTTTGGTGACGTCGAAATGACATAGCAACTATGTTTTTACTGATTAGGAAATGACATTGTTATCGTGTGCGTAACACGTGACTTGCTTCAAAGTTTTTCGACATTAACATGCACTCGTTCACAGAGTAATGGGCCCTAGGAGGTCGGGAATAAGTAACGTAGGTTACAAAATCCTCGAGCCTAATTTTTTGCTAATTTGCTTGGTAGTTCATCAATAAACTCGCAAACTGCAAGGAAGGGCGTGAGGCAGACAAGCTCATTTCTCGTATGCATGGCATTCGGGAATTGACGTTAGACCTCCCTTGTGGAAGACGCTATGTCCTTGTTGACACCCCAGGATTTGACGGCACTTCCTGGCGAACCCAATATATCCTCCGGGAACTTGCTAACTGGCTACATGACAAGTAAGCGCTGAATCCGCAAATTGCCCCTTGCTCACGTATATATACAACAGGTACTTTGAAGACGTGAAGATCACGGGGGTCATTTACACACATCGTGTAACCGACGATCACATATCTAGGACAGTACGCGAGAACCTCGACCAATTCCGTAGATTATGCGGTGACAAAGCTGCACAACACGTGCAGTTAGTGACTACTTGGTGGGATGAACAAGAGGATAAAGAAGCAACACCGAATTGGGTCCCGCAACTAGGGGAATGCTTACCTATCGCCGCAAATGTGCATCACGAACGATTTCGATTTTTCAACACCCAGGGGTCTGCTTTGGACATCGTAAACAGGTTGGTCGGGGAAGATGCCGTCTTGACCGAAGAAAAATTGGTGGAGGCAGAGAGACAGTTGCACGATACTAATGTTGCGAGGCCACCCTACTCTCGATTCTCTTGGCTCTGGCAACAGATGAAGGAAATCTATAAGACCTTCAGATCTTCTCTAGGCGACGCGTTGACTTGGTTGGTCCCCGGCAGCCTCAAGAGGATACAATGACATTGATGATCTCCCACACCAAGTGACGAGCCAGTCGCACCGTTCACCGTTGTCGACCATTATAGGAATTCCATGGACTCATATTCTTGCCAATTCTACCAGCCCGTTCTCCTTACTTGCTTTCAACTTGCTCTCCAACGTCTATCGCTGTTAATATGCATATGTATGTTCTGAAGCCTTCAGCTCAGAGCGCACACCCTTGCGGTGAACACACCTCATATATGGTCAAGCTCGCGATAAGCATCGCTGTCCAGCTTCCGGTTTAGCCACTTGAAGTATGAGCAAGTAACGTGAGCTGATGCCTTGTTTCTGGGGGCATAAACAGTCGGCATACGATGATCTAGGTGGATCGTTTTCCAGATAGTAGGGTGTATGACCTCTCCAATTTCACCTCTCATCTGCTAGGCAGAACTGCCAAATAGTTAACTGAGCTTCAGTGTTCTTTCTCTATACCTGCACGACACATGGACCGTTACTATTTAATTAACCCGTTTGTTGATCAAGGAGGTGCCCACCTTTCTGTTAGCGCCACGCGCGGCGTGCGGGGCGAGTCCACCAGAGATCGAACTTCGACAGGTCAGAAGAACCTGCAGGTTTGTGCATTCTGACGATCACACTGCACAACGATCTTAAATAACGACGCCGATTTCTGGGATTGCCGGCACGTTCTGGTAAGGATTGGAGTTTTGGAGTAGACCACGTATCACTGTAACGAGTGGCCCAAGGACTTCATTACTCCACATGTACGGAGACTATCTTATCTCATTCGGCACAGCACGATTATCGAATAGACAGACGGCCGTTGGTTTCCCTCGCAGATGCAGATGGACGACTTATATGCAGGGACCGTTGCAGCCACAAGCTTTGTATTGAGTTGATGGTGTCAGGACCTACCAGTCGGTACGTTCCCCATCAATGATGCGTTCTGTAAATGTTTCAGTGATGGTTATCCGCCTGCAGGTTATAAAATCTCCGTCGCCCGCCCAAGAAGTTGCCTCCCACCCTACCTGTTGACGTGACAGCACCCCTTCGGGTCCAAAAAAATTGACATCTGTAGTTCTCCTGCAGCTCTCCTATCATCCGGGTTCACCACAAATCTCAGTACCATGTGGACGGCCGACGTCTGTCACCTTATTGATGTCAGGTCTCTTTCCAATCTCAAAAATGATTCAACATGGGGTTTTACGTGTGTGCCCTATGGTGTACTTGTAAACAGCTGGCTGCCATTTGCGTTGGGCTCCCCTAATGCATGGTAGCTCATTGGTACGCCTAGCGAGGTATCGGGTTTCGAGTCATGAGCCTCTCATTGTTGCAGAACTGAATTGCGGCCTACACAGCGAAAGTACTCGAGCTCCAGCAAACAAGGTCCACTGAGCACGCTCTACTATACCAGACGGGCAAAACAGTCACAGCCTTACTCACAACTCGCGACAGCCACATTACTTGGTTATATAAGTCAGAAAGGCTCGCAGGCGTTCCATCGGACAAAAAAGCCAGGCAATCCATTCGCAAAGTGGTATCTTCAACCGAAGGTGAGCCTTCGCAGTGCTGATCTCGTTTAACTGCTTCTCTGCGTCCACCACCTCTTCCGGGATCAGACGAGCGTCTTCCCCCACCAGTCCGTTTACGATATCCAAAGCTGACCTCTGCGTATTGAAGAATCGTTCGTGACGGGCATCCGCAGGAGTGGGAGGCTTCCAGAAGTTCCCATCCAGCTGCGAGACCAAACGCGGTATTCCTTCTGCGTCATTTACTTCATCCCACCTTGTAGTCAGCAATCGCACGTGTTGTGCGGCCTTCTCCCCGCATAACCGATAGAACTCAGTGAGGTTCTCCTGTACTGAGTCAGACGAGTGATTGTCGGTTATACAGTGTGTGTAGATGACCCCTGTTATCTGTAAATGTTTCAAATATCTGTTTCGTACGTATGTGTGTAAGTAAGGGGCGTAGTGCAGAAGAAGCAAGGCTTACCTATCTCGTAGCCAGTCAGCAATCGTCCGAAGAACTTCTTGGTCCGAGTGCCGAGTGTCATCGAACCCTGGTGCTTCCACAAACACGTAGCGTTTGTCACGACAGAAGTCCAGTACAAACTCCCGAATGAATTGCGTACGAGGAACGGGTTTCCCTGCATCAGGCTTCGTTTGATAGCCCATAAGTTTGTTGATAAACTACGAAGCACGTTGTCAAAGAATCCGGTGTGAGAATTCCTTGACCTACGTTACTTTTCCCCGATTCGGTAGGTCCCATTATTCTGTGGACATATGAAGTCAAAAGTGAAAAGCTTGCACGCAATCCACGTACACAATAACAATGTCATTCCCTGATTCAGTAAAACCAGAGCTTCTATTTTAGTTTCGGCCTCAATTAAAAAAAATACCGCACACGCACTTGGCGGAAGCTGGCAGGGTGATATCATCGACTTCAACTTTGCGCGATTTAAAACCACTGTACTGACCTCCCTAGTTTCTTTTACAATATCCCCCGCTCCGAAGCGCGAAGACGGGTCCATCCGCAAGCAACGCGAACATAGGTCCCACCATTCATTTGTCATACGATAACAAGTGTCCTCCCTGGATGGTCGTTCAGGTGGCCCCATGATAACCCGCGATTGAATGGAGTCGCGATTGGTCAGGGTCCAGTAGGGATGTTTCCGGGTGAAGAGTTCCTGCAAAAATACGACTTTGACGACTATGATGAGAAAAGGAAGAAGTCCTGACGGACCAACGTGGTCATTCCAAAAGCCCATATCTCGCCTTCCACAGTGGGCTTGGGGTCTTCGGAGACCAGTCTATTAACCACCTCCGGGGCCATCCATCGTAGTGATCCTCCACATGCAGACGTCATAGGTATGCTGAATGAGGAATTGGGAAGGATGGAAAGTCCAAAGTCGGTAAGGACAGCCCGACCATCTGAGGCGACCAACACATTTTCCTGTTTCACAAATATTACACAAGTCGACAAGTTTGTGAACGAGACCTACCCCTTTCAAGTCAGCGTGAATTATCGGACCTTCCGGATGACTATGTAGGTAGCGGAGTCCGAGAGCAATATCTTTAATCTGAACTGCCCCCCAATCAATATGCGGAGAAAGTTGCACATTTCAACTTACAAGAGGACGGGGATCGTTTTTTTGTTTTTGTACATAAGCGCTGGCATTGCCTCCCTCCATCCACAGAGTCACTATTGATACAGTGGAGTCGAATTTGGTGGTTATTCCAAGGACGCTGAGAACATTCGGATGGTCCAGCTTCGACCAGGTGTGTGCTTCCTTGAGGATTTGCTGGGTGACGATCACTATGGGAGAAGTACATAATATTAGGGCCATTACCTTGATAGTACGTTCATCGTCCATCCCGATGCCTCGGGGTGTTTTTATTGCCACAGTCCTTCCATCTGATAGCAATTTTCCTCGGTATATTAGAGTACCTCCTCCATGACAGCACGGTGACGGTTCTCGTTCTATCCAGTCGTCAAGGTCGAAGACATATCTGCTGGCCCGTTGAGCGAGTCGGTGAGGCACGTCTGAGAATGCATTGGAGTTTGACTGGTTGAATTTGGAATCATCATATTGGGTTGGCCCTTGTGAAAGTCAGTAAATGGTGACATTGGTCTGAGGAGCACCACACGTACTAAGTGGAAACTTGAGCTAGAGAACTCGTACTATTAGTTTTATATTTGTTGTTAAAAGCGCGTCCGCGTACCTGCTTGATCTTCTCGATAGCATCCAGCATTTCGATGCGCGAGGATGGCTCCATCCGCACGCACCGCGAGATTAATTCCCACCATTCATCCGTCATACGAGCACAGGTATCCTTGTTAGATGGCCTGCCGGGCGGCTTGCAGAGAATCCGGGACACAATAGCGGGCCTCTCTGCCAGATTGCGGTGGGGAACTTTCGCGGTAAAGAGCTCCTGTAGAAAAATAGGCAAAGTTGGTTACGACGAAAAGGCTCCTTGACATACCAGTGTTGTCATCCCAAAAGCCCAAACGTCACTCTCCTCCGTAGCACGGCAGTTCTCCGCAGACTCCGTATCGACCAACTCTGGAGCTTTCCATTGTAATGTACCACCAAAAGGAGATTCTGTGGTCATGGCAAATGACGGATTGGAAAACATGCAGTATCCAAAGTCTGTGAGAGTAGCGTGACCAATGGCGGAAACCAGTACATTGTGCTATTGCAGAGGCAATCAGCCAAACGTACCCAATCCTCGAGAGAGGTACCTACCCCATTCAAGTTACCGTGAATTATGGGACCATCCGAATAGGTATGTAGGTAATGAAGTCCCAGAGCAATGTCCCCGATCTGAATCGCACATCATCAAATACATGTGCGGAAAAACCGCGCCTGTCAACCTACAAGAGGACGGGGGTCCCTGTCTCGTTGCTGTACGTACTGATGAGCGTCACCTCCTTCCATCCATCCAGTCATCAGGGATACGGTGAGACCGAAAGCAGTCGTTATTCCAAATAATGGAAGAACGTTTGGGTGCCGCATCTTCGACGCGATATGTGCCTCCAGAAGTATCTCCTAGATGACGATCAATACAAAGGAAACAATGTTCATCGAAAGTCACCATGTACTTTAATAACTTTCTCATCAGAACGGGAAACAATCTTTACCGCCGCGACTCTTCCGTCTGGACACAACGTTCCACGATACACCAAGGAATGAGTCCCACAGGCCAGTGGCGTAGAGTCACGTAATATCTTTCCGTCAAGGCTAATACCATAGTTCCTCGTACTGGGAGCCACTCCGCAGGGGAAATCTCTTGATTTCATGGTGTAGCAGCTGGGCGTCGTTGTCGAACAAGTGGTGGGAGTCGAGGGATGTGTTGTAGCACTTGGCTTGAGCAGCCATTGGCGTCGCGATGTACGTACGACATGTCCCGGACAGGTGTGACGCGTAGCACAGACATCCAATTGACGGGTCCTTGGATAGCGGCTGGGATGCCAGGCCCCTGGCGGTCGCGAGTGATTACAAATCAGTCACTAACCCGGCCCGGTCTCGGGCTCGAGGCCGGACCGAGCAAAACACTACCCACATTGCTGGGCTTTCACTCAACTACTACGGGACGAGCCAACACTCCCACCCTACATGGGCCTCCCTTGCGAGGCACCCTACACACGGCACAACGATATGTACAAATTCGATTTCCGCGCCATGACCCGGGCGTCACCAGGAACGTTCACGAATGAATATATGTACGACAAGTACAGCAACACTGAGGCTGCCACTCAAACTCAAACCGACCAGATTGCCCAGCAGGTCAAAGAAACCACGACTGGATTTCTACCAACTCAAACGTACAGCTTTTTCAATTCGGACTGTGCGCTTTGTTGCTGCCACGTATACACTCGGTTTGGATAGCGCGTCTGTTGGGCGCTCGTGTCAACCCTTCACTGACCTGATCGAGTCTAGTCTGGAGCCAGAGGATAGATAACGGCGAGCTCCAGCGAATGGCCGATTGTGAGCTTGATGGATGGTAGGTGCCTATGTGCTCCACCTTCTGTCACACTTGTGCCTGGCCGTCGTGATGGAACCACCCCACGGTGAATATGCATTCCCGATCTTGTCGAACGGGTTCAAGGGCCAAGGGTGTCAGGTATGGGGTTAATTAATTTCATATCGAAGCTTTGGAGTCCATGGGAAAGCGAAAGTGAGAGCCGACCGGGGAACTGCTTGGGTCAGTCCTCGTTTTCCGCCTTCTTGCTCAATGCCATACTTAATAAAAGTTGGAGATGCTTCAATCCGGTTTTGCTCAGCACCTTCACCACCGAGGGATGGACACGAAGAAGCTGGAGTCTACCCCAACCGTCGTCACAACGCAGGCACGGAGTGCGCAAGTCAACTAGGATGTCCAGTGTCCAGACGACGGAAGGATATATGTGCGCGGCACAACATGTGTATCTGCCAGCAGTGGGCCTTGCAATACTCCGTCTAGCTTACATAGTGAGCTAAGCAGATGTAAGGGATCAGATGACCGCATTGTCCAGCATCTATCGGCTCCGAAGCGAGTCGTTTCTCACCGTGCCATATCCTGTTTAACATTTAGGCTTGGCCATATTCGTGATAATAAATGGGATAAATGTGGCATATGTTATAAAAGTCCGTCGTTGCGTTGGAACTTCTCGTGTCGCGACCGTCATTTGCGTGCTCGAGTCTCGAGTGTCCTCGTCGTTGGTGTTCGCAAAAATTGTCTTTTTTTGGGTCTCTCTCCCTCTCGCAGCAACTATATCTCTGTCAGCACTTCCCAACCAACTCCGTCTTCCTTCCCCACCACACCATCCTAGTAAACCTCCTCACCGCTCCCTTTCACTCCAACCCTTCCCCTGGCCTTGTCAACCTCAGAGTCCCAATCTGCCCTGAAGACACCGAGCCACACTCCAACTCCAGAACCATACACCAGCGCAGCGGTCAGCCCGTACCAAAGCCCAGACAAGCCGTATCCGAAGTGGAAAGCGAGTAGGAGACCCAGCGGGATACCAAGGACGTAATATGCACTGCGCAACGAACGTGCGTGACATTACGGGACAACGGTGTGAAGAAGGAAGATCAACATTGGCAGAGGACCCATCAGCTTCTTGACCTCGTACAAGGACGAATGACCCACCTCAAGTTTAACAACGCACCCATCATCTGAAAGAGATACCAAATTTATCAAGGGACCATACATTAGCAGCATCCAAATTGACTTACTTGCATACCCCTTGCCCTAAAGATTCCACCGGCGATGGCGCTCGTGCCGTCAAACACCTGGAAGAGCCCAGCGATCGGGAGAATGGAAGATACGAGGTGGACAACATCAGGGTCATCGTTGAAGAGGTACCCCCACTTATTACGGAACACAAGGAAGAGAGTGCTAGGTGCGCAAACAAAATATAAATGAACGAAGCAGGATTGCCACACACAACCAAGGACAGCGCAAGTTGAAACCAATACCAAGAAAGATCATGCATCAACATATACGCACAAGAGGGTTCGGATGAGACGCACCTCCAAACACCAGCCATGACAACAGCCAAAAACAACGAAGTGTTCGCGACAAGGCCAGCCCGACGCGATTTACCCTGACCAAGTAGGTTGCCGATCCTGTCATTCACCATGAAGATGCATCATTCAGGATATCAATCAAAACACAAGAGCATGTAAACGACTCACCGTACCGACGTTGCAACACTCAATGCAAAAGGCGCCTGATACGTGCATGAAGCCGATAGGAGAAGCACGGACTGCGCTGCAAGCGGAACGGGACCTAGGCTGAATTACGGACCGCCAATTTAGCTAGGTAGCCAAGCGCAGCCCAAGGAAGCCCGATATCAAATGCAAAATACTCACAGACTTGCAGCCACTTGGATCCGGCCGCTCTCCTCAGCCTACAAACATGGTGGGAAATAAGTATTACTCACATCCAGTGAGTTCCCAGCTCCACCATTCGGATGCAGTTTGGCCTGTGTACGTCACGGATGAATATTCAGGGTTCCATTAATTTAAACCCACGACTTACCGACTCCTGCGATACCCAATCGGAGGAGTGCGCCCCACCCGCGCCATATGCCAGGTCCAATCGGGCACCAGGCAGTGCGCGGGAGCAAGAAATAGGCATAAACGATAGATGCAAGCGAAACAAGATTGAAGGACAGAGCAGTTGCAATCGGGGCGCCTGGGAAAGACAATCCGAGCGGGTACACTGGAGGGTTTGATCAGCAACGTGTTGACCGGATGACGGGCCGGTGCACACCGAAGAACCAATTCAGGAAAGCATTGATAGGTGCAACGACGACAATGATTCTTGTCGGAACGGTAAAAAGCCCTTGTGACTGGAAATACCGCCTGGAAAGGATTATTATTGAGATGACCCTGCAGGGAACGTAATTTGCCTGGATATGCAATTAAAGGTATACGCAGGAAGGCCCCACGATGCGTGTTTCAGGTAAACACCAGCGAGGTGTGCTACTTCGGGGTCCTGCTTGAGCAGCAGAAGAACCGGCTCAGCATTGAACCAGATGAAAAGTATGGGCTTGAATCGAGGTCAGTTATCTCATGTGAATGATGGTGGATGTAACTGATACGCACGACGAGCGCAAATGAGGTCATAAGAACTATAAAAAGGGGGTTAACGCAATGGTGCCGGAGAGGGAACCGAACTTTTGGCTTACCCATTCTCTGGGTCCAAAGACCGACCATGTGTGGCGTGTCCGACGTCCACGCAGGGGGAAGGAGCGTATCAAGAGTGGAGGCGAGACCCTGCACGATGCTATAGCCTGTAACGGAGGCTGTCATACTGCCGAGAGTGGCAGCAGCCAGGGCAAGAGTGGACAAATGCCCTATGGAGACGACGGATGCAAAGATGAAGGAGTACTCGAAGAGATGTGTGCTGTGACAACAAGGTGAGTAGATACGAGGACCGAAAGGGGTCACACGCACGCGAAGACTGGAAGTGAATAGCGAGTGAGGATGCCTAGTTCCTCGCGGAATATTTTGGATGAAGGCGACGCGTCAACGGCCTCGGCTTCGGTGTAGCCGTTCTCATCGACAGCTTCGTGGATGCAGGGTATGGGTGGGCTTTGCTGGAGGAGCGGGGTACGCTCGGAGACGTTGGACATCGTTCGCTGACCTGAGGTTCGTCTGATTGGGATAGCTCGCGGATGGGAAGGCCCAGCTTCTTCGTGGGTGATGGGAGGAAGGTTAGCCTGGCTAACGTCCTCGTTGAAGTGCGACACGATAGCGTAGTCCTCGGGCAGCGACTGCGGCGTTGAGTGCTGCAGCGACATGGCGCACGGAAATTGAGGGTCTGGCTGACGGGGTCTTGCCTAATAAGCACACGGGGCTCCCGGTGAATAGTATTCAGTTGAAGCAACTCCGACAACACCGAGTCAGAGCTCGCCAGGGACAGTCCCGCCTGTTATTCAACGCAATTAGTAGCCGAGTGTTCCATTGAATACAAAATGTTCTACCCAAGGTACAAAGTCGAAGGAGCGCTTGCTCTTGCCGGTTAGCGCTAGTCGGAAAAAAAAACAAACTATGTACATGCCACCACTGGTCATCCGTCTCTACTTGGAGTTCGCCAATCCAGTCGGTGCATGATCCTGCTACACATTCGTATCAGTTGTTTTACTTTGCCCTATAAACGATCGTCGTCACCATATGAGACTGACAAAGCAAAGGTACGAACGATGTCTCGTCCAGACTATCACCGCACTTCACTCTGCGTAGAGCCCCGAGAGTCTCAGGCTTGGTCTTTGCAAGGAGGTGGGTGTCGACGTTGATGGAAGAGGGTTTTAAAGAGTGAGATTGTTTCCAGGTACGGTCATGATATTGCAGAGAATGACCCAAGAGGCAGATCCTTTTTTGAAGAGAACCATCCAGCGGCTGCTTCGCCAATCATCAAGAGGCCCACTAATCAGGAGAGGTTACGCATGACGCCTCCCCTTGCTCGAATCACTTCGTGGCATCAAAGTTAACTATTGCTACGATCAGACGTGGCAGCATGCTTATGTCTTCATACATAAACCATCTCCTACCGAATCCCGCCCACCAGTTAGCTCTTCATATTGTACGTGCTTTTCACCACTTCATGAATGCGCAGCCATTCACCTCATGTAAACGCTTAAGCCACGATTGCGGTGTTCTTTCACTGCTTCCTGCCTCGCTGACGTCTGTCATCCAAACTTCTCTCTAGGGCTGTATCGGTTCCGCCCCTGCTCCCGACGGCATCGGTGCGAACGCCAACTCATGTTGCCATAACCAAGACAGTGCCGTCAGCAGCTTTCTTCTGCATACACAATGGCGATGATCGGTCGTGAACAGCCTTCTAAGCTTCCCGTCCAGAGCGCTCACCGTGTCAGAAGTGTGGCTGGGCGCTTTCCGTTTTTCAAATACCTTAATCGATAACGCCAGCGGTCGCAAATGAATGATTCCGAGGACTAATTCTTTTCGATTTGGAACATGCGGAATACTCGAGGTCGATGTCTACACGTGTATGGGTACCGGGTACATGTAGGACGGGGATAAAATGCGATCAGTGTACTGCATTGCCCGATTTCATCCTACTCGCAGCGAAGCACCTCTCCAAGCACTCAGAATGGTTCGAAAGACCAAGGATAATACTCAAGACATCGTTGTTGCGTACGTTGGTGTAGTAGATGTCACTTGGTATTGATTTCATCCATTCCTTTGCAGAGTAATGGGTCCCACGGGATCGGGAAAAAGCAATGTAAGTGTCAACCCTCTAACACGCCCAGACCATTTGGACATAGCACTTGATAGTTCATCAACAAACTCACAGGCAATAAGGAAGAGTCCAGAGCGGACGGACTCAAGTCTTGTACGCAAGGCATTCGGGAGTTTACGGTGACCCTCGCCGATGGCAAACGCTATGTATTCGTGGACACGCCAGGGTTTGACGACACTTACCGGTCGGACCGTGAAATACTTTTCACTATCGCTGATTGGTTAGAAAAGAAGTAAGCGCCAAGCTTGCAAACACGTGCATGTTACGCAACTCGCTCACGTTTCTAAATAGGTACCGGGGACTCGTAAAACTTACAGGGGTTATCTACACGCATCGCATCAGCGACAATCGTATGTCCGGCTCAGTATGTAAAAACCTCGACTTGTTCGGTCGGTTGTGTGGAGACGGGGCTGCACAGCGTGTGCGGTTGGTGACGACCATGTGGGATCATCAAAAACCGGGGAATGCAGGATTGTGGGAGAAGAGGGTGTCGCAACTGGAGGGAAACTTCTGGGAACCTCTTATCACTCTAGGAGCTCGTCATGAAAAGTTTCTCAACACACAGGATTCAGCTTGGAAAATCGTAAATGGACTAGTCCCCGCCTGTGCCACCTTGGTAGATGCGACGCGGAAGTCGGACGAAGCAAATGCGGGTCAGGCCCTTCTGATCCAAGAAGAGATGGTGGACGCGGAGAAGAAGTTGAACGAGACCAGTGCAGGAAAGGCGCTCTACTCTCGATTCCAGAGGGTACTTCTGGAGCAGAAGGAGACACTCAAGCAACTTGCGAATGGGCTAGCGGAAAAGGATCCAAAAGTAGCAGAAAATTTGCGAGCAGAATATGGTAAGTTGGAAGCCGAGATACAGAAGGCAATAGAAGATACGGAGAGAATGAAGATACCGTTTGGGAGGCGAATTGCCTTGTTCTTCGGTCGTAAAAAGACTCACTCTGTGAGTGCTTGCATTGTATCTTACTGTCAATGTCTTAGACTGATCGACACCGCAGCGCAAGATTGAACTGAACTTCGTACCAGTAGCATTAATAGATAACTGAGCCCCTTGCTCAACGCTCACTTTTTTCCACCTCAGAGCGTCACGCACTTCGCATGCGCGAAATCTGTTGATGGTTGCACGACGACTACGCTCTTCCTCCACTGTGTAAATCATTTCTGGCCATGACCCGTCTACGCACTACTATTACGAGCTAATGATATTATCATTTGATTATCATGCTAATCGCTTCCCGTGCCGACTGAGAGGTGTTCTGATAGCGAAGTGACTTGACTCCTTGGCTTATCAGATTTCTCCACGTCCCTTCCTCGAATCTCCTGAGATCTGTATCGTCCCCCATAGTACCGACCAAGACGACCGAGGAATAGAAATAGACACCGGATTGACAAAGCCCACGAAAGCAGCTTATACTGGGAGTTTCTGGCCGTTTGGCTTTCAACTGCTGGAAGAAGAGTATGCCAGCGAGACGATCATCATATCTGTCCGGAAAGTTAAGCGACTGCACTGGTGACTATTAGCGCCACAATAGCAGCTTGCCTGTTTCCCTGCAACCATTTCCTTACTGCCTGAGAAACATCTTCTTCAGATATCTCTTTTTCACCCCGTCCGAGGGGCGCGCCGATACCTGGGGTGTCGATAAGGAGGATCTTGTGACCGCAACCATCGGTGTAGAGCCCAGCTTCGACCTTGCATGTTTGACACTTCACACTATTTCCATTTCCCTGGTAATTCGCCCCGGTGGCGTTGCACATGAACTGTCGACTAGTTCAAGAGCTGGCGTCTTTGAGTTGAATGCATTATGATCTTACAGAGGTCCTCCCCGAGCCTGGGGGCCCGATCAACCTGCAACAAGAGTGGGGGTTTAACACTTCACAATTTTGTAGTTCGTGCGCCCGATACTCACGCAATAATGCCATCGACTTAACGAACAGAGCGAATTAGCAGTTATACTCCTGGCAGCTTAAGAAATTTGGACTACCCTCTGAATTGGCCTGACAGCAACCCTGGAAAAGGGTCAGCGAGCGTCAATGAGACCCAAAGGAGTAAGTGAAGAAACCATTATATCTCGCTGCGCGACTCAGAATGTAGTATACAAGTAGTCGCTGGAGCTTGTATCGTCAGATAGAGTACACGAAGAGGAAAAGGCCAAACAGTGTTCATTTATCTACGTAAGGATCACGATGTTTCGTGGTGCGGAGCGGGATCCCACCTTGTTGTACAAGCGTGCCCTAATTGTCTGATAAATGAATCGTGCGTGTGTGCAGCACGGTGGGCTCGGCGCTTATGTAGTGTAAGCGCCGCCGCATTGCAAGCGCATTGTACACACGTCTAGAAGTAACAGCCGCAAGTTACTTCCATTTAGCGCTTCGAACTGGAGACCCTGAGATTCATATATCCATGATTCTGATAGCGTTGTGAGCCATTCATGACGCATGCCACTTGTGTGTTGATATCTTCTGCTGCATGTATGACATGGGTATAAAGGTTACTCGAATGTAATGCCATTTGAATCTTCTCTGGTGCATACCTTGCCTGCCATCACTCGCCACTTGATAGCAGCGATTGCTGTGACATCATGGATACAAGTGATTTCCTCCACAAACTCGCTGAACATGCCAGCAAGTATGCCATCAACCTTGACGGACAGATTAGCCGGGACCAATCCCCACGTGTTCGCAGGGGGTAATGCTTTAGTGTATTGTGGAACAATATCTTTGGAGGGAAGGACAACGACTGTGGCGATAAAAACTGTCGTTGGCGCCACGCAGGCTGACATGAAAGTTATGAAGGTAATGTTTATGGAAGGACTAATATTTCTAGGCTAATCGCCCTCTAGCGAGTACTTCGAGAGGCACATGTCTGGTCGAAGCTGAAGCATCCGAATGTCCTCAGCCTAGTCGGAATAACTACCGAATTTGACCTCACGATATCTCTAGTAACCACGTGGATGGAGAATGGTAGTGCTCGCGCCTTTGTACAAGAACGGCACAACGATCCCCGCCCCCTCGTAAGTCAAAAGCCACGTTTTTTGCCGGCATCTGATGACGTATGATTCAGATTGGGGACATTGCTGCAGGACTTCATTACCTGCACAATCATCCGAAAGGTCCAATAATTCATGGTGACCTGAAAGGGGCATGTTCCTCTGTTGAGGATTTCTCTAGCTTGACTAATTTTCTACATGGTAGGACAACGTGCTGATCGCCCAAGACGGTCGGGCTCTTCTTACAGATTTCGGACTCTCTATCCATCTTAACTCATCCTTCACCATGACTACACACCTTCCATGTGGGGGTTCCTTGCACTGGATGGCTCCAGAGTTGGTAGATACAACTGGAACTGGAGACTTGCGTGCTACTGTTGAAAGTGATGTTTGGTCCTTTGGCATGACAACATTAGTATGTCAGGTAGCCCGCTCATTATTACAAGGCTCGCTAAAGCCCTGCAGGAACTTTTCACTGGGAAAGCGCCATACCATGAGCAGAAGTCGATTACAGCCATCCTCTTCCGCATTCTGGAAGGGCAGCCGACACGGCCATCTGACGAAGATACCAATTTTCGTATGACAGACGAATGGTGGGCACTATGCTCACGTTGCTGGAATAACAAACCATCTCGCCGCATCAGCATGTCAGACTCTATCAATTTGATCCGGCAGGTCAGTGTAAATAGCTTGCACTCCGTAGGAGATTAAGTCAGTGATGCGACTTCTCTAGCTTCTCGCTAGTACGTGTATAGTATTTTTCATTCAGGCGAAACTACAACAGCTGTTTGTCTTCTTGGATTAGATATCATTGTGTAAGTACGCCATTTTACGGGCGTATCATTAACATTGGCCTCGTTTATTTGCTCACAGAGTAATGGGTCCTACGGGATCAGGAAAAAGCAATGTAAGTGTCAACCCTCTTACACCTGAGCCGTCGGACGTAACGCTTGATAGTTTATCAACAAGCTCATAGGCAGTAAGGAAGAGTCCAAAGCGAGAAAACTCGAGTCTTGTACGCGAGACATCCATGAGCTTACAGTGAACCACACCGATGGCAAACGCTATGTGTTCGTGGACACGCCAGGGTTTGACGACACCTACCGGTCGGACCGTGATATACTTCGAACTATTGCTAATTGGTTGGAAAAGAAGTAATCACCCAGCTTGCTAACATGTTATGCAACTCACTCAACCGTATTCAATACAACAGGTACCGGAGTCACGCTAAACTTACAGGGGTTATCTACACACATCGCATCAGCGACAATCGTATGTCCGGATCGGTCTGCAAGAACCTCGACTTGTTCGGCCGCTTGTGTGGGGACAACGCTGCACAGTGTGTGCGGTTGGTGACTACCATGTGGGACAATCAAAAACCGGGGAATGAGGAAATAGTGCAAAACAGGGTCTCGCAACTGGAGGGAAACTTCTGGGAACCTCTTATCTCTCTAGGGGCACGTCATGAAAAGTTTCTCAACACACAGGGATCAGCCTGGAATATCATAAATGGATTAGTGGAGCGCCGTACTCCCTTGGTCCAGGGAAACATAGCTGCTGCGAGGAAATTGGACGAAGCGAGTACGGGAAATGTTCTTCTGATCCAAGAAGAGATGGTAGACGCGGAGAAGAAGTTGAATGAGACCAGTGCGGGAAGGGCCCTCTACTCTCGATTCCGGCAGCTACTGCGGGAGCAGCAGAAGATACTCAAGCAACTTGCGGACGCGCTGGTGGAGAAGGATCCAAGTGGGGCTGAACAATTGCGAGCAGAGTATGGTGAGATTGAAGCTGCTATGCTGAAGACAGAGGATGAAATGGAGAGAATGAAAATACCGCTTGCGAGACGGATTGCCTTATTTTTTGGGAAAAGGACTCGTTCTGTAAGTATCCTTTCTCCATCTTACTGTCCACGCACAGTAAATAATAGACACCACAGCGCACAGTCGCACTGCCCCTTCCACCAGGAGAATTAGATAATAACATCGCGGCATGACCTCTGTGCGAAGGGTCGAAGTGTCGTTCTCACAAACTATCAAGGCGTGATCGAAAAACACATATCTTCCCTGCACACATCGCGCCGATAACGTACTGTGTGCGTTCCGACTTTAGTATCGGTACACTGCCATCGCGTCCATTTACATCCCGGTTATGCGTCAGTCAAGTTCGTATAAGTTAATATATTCCGAAAAATCTGTATTTGTAGTCTCTGAATGGGTTCCACCGCCCTAGTGTTTCTGTTATTAGTGAAGGGATAATAAGGTCGTACCCAGAAAGACCTGATCACCAAGTCCTCCGTCCAACCGCCCACAATACGAATCTCGTATAAAGTCGAGTTGACGCGTCGAATGAGACGGAAGTAGGGGCGAGTGAGGATCTCGCATTCTCGATTGCCACCGTCGTAGAACTTCTGGGAGCACTTGAAGTCGATTGTGAGACTTTCGCGATCTCCTTACTGCCCCTCGCTACTCTATTCGCACCTCCACTCTATTCGCCCTCGAGATGTACTTCGACGGCAGCAAGCTAGCCAAAGGCCGGTATAACTTCTGCACGAAGTATTCACACATGTATATCAAGGCAAGCAAGACCGTTAGCGGGGGGGTTAGCACATCTTGATCGTAATGTAGTAGTTCACGAAAAGTAAGACAACGCCCCTGAATCCAAGCCCTCTGACCAGCTAAGATGTGAAGAGAAGGAAGTCTACAGCAGGCTTCATTACAGCGGTTTGCGAAAATAATGTCAGTAGCAAAATATTTGTGAGCGCTCCGTGAGCTCCGCACAATAAGGAAATGTACCAAGCTGGCGTGAAAACAATATTTTGCTACTGACATTAATTTCGCAAACCGCTGTGAACGTACAAGCGTCACTGTATTCCAGCGATACTCTCGGATCACAATGTACTGACGATCAACTCCCTGTCACAGTGGCACACGGCAATACCGCAGATTCGGATATGGAAAGGGGTACAAGTCACAAATAGTAACGATGACTACCATTGAATTCGTACTATACACACTCAGCAGTGTGAAGGTGAACCAGAGCTAGACCTCCTCTAAACTCACGCCCTTTCGCACCCACTGACGAAGTCCCCTACAAACGGTCTCGCGTGCGGAGGGGAAAGTACCTTACACCTGCCAAGCTTTGGCTCTGTCGTTCTCGCGCTACGCGACGATTCGACCTGGCACGCCCACACGGACAGAAGACGGCAGATAGTAAGGAGTAGGCAACAGCGAGCGCAGTGTCGGCGGGTGTTGGAGCAGCCACTTGACTTGTTTGAGGATTACTCGTAATGCACAAACGCGCCCTAGATCCCAAACGATGAGTCGTTCATGTCATAACTCGTGAAAGCCGCGCGGCAGGCTTAGCGCTTACTACTAAGTGTAAGCGCGGCGTCAAGGTGGGAGCCTGACAGAAGGTGTTCTCGACATTAAATGTGCACCAAGGTTGGCTGTCCTGATCGTACCACTGCGGGCTTTCAATGTAAAAACACACGTCCGTGATCGAAATGACCGTAGGTACATCACCTCTGTTCAGCGCTTCTAACTGGCCTGAGATCTTTTCATGCATGAGACGCACCACTTTTGTGTTGATGGCTTCTTCTGCAGCGCGTGCAACATGTGTTTAATGGTTACTCGACTATATAATGCCATTTGACCCCACTCAAATTTCTCCGGTACATACTTCGCAGGAGTCATCACTCAGCACTTAACAGCAGCAATTGCTGTGACATCATGGATCCACGTGATTTTCTCCGTAAACTCGCTGAAAAGGCCAGCAAGTTTGCTATTAACCTTGACGGGCGCATAGAACGAGACCAAGCCCCACGTGCCCGGGGGGGTAAAGCTGTAGTGTACCGCGGAACATTATTGTCGGAGGGAACAGCCGTGGCGGTAAAAACTGTTATTGGTGCCACGGAAGTTAACATGAAGGATATGAAGGTAATGTTTATGAAAATGCTACTATTTCCTTGCTGATCGCCCTGCAGCAAGTCCTTCGAGAGGCACATGTCTGGTCGAAGCTAGATCATCCGAATGTCCTCCCCCTACTTGGAATAACCACCGAATTTGATCTCACAGTGTCCATTGTAACTACATGGATGGGAAGGGGCAATGCTCGCTGTTTTGTACAAGAACGACACAACGATCCCCGTCCCCTGGTAAGTCAAAGGCCACGTTTTCTTTGCGTATCTGATGAGGTACGATTCAGATTGGGGACATTGCTGCGGGACTTAGTTACCTGCACAGTCATCCCAAAGGTCCAATAATTCACGCCGACTTGAAAGGGGCAGGTCCTTCTGTTAAGGATTTCTCTCGCTTAGCTAATTGTCTATACGATAGGACAACGTATTGATAGCCCAAGACGGTCGGGCTCTTCTTACAGATTTTGGACTCTCCATTCATCTTAATTCATCCTTCACCATGACTACACACCTTCCATGTGGGGGCTCCTTGCGCTGGATGGCTCCAGAGCTGGCAGATTCAACTGAAGGCATGCATGCCACTGTTGAAAGCGATATTTGGTCCTTTGGTATGACGACATTGGTATGTTAGGTAACATCTTCATTGTTTATAAAGCTCGTTCAAGTCATGCAGGAACTTTTCACTGGGCAAGTGCCATACTCTCAGGCATTTGTATGTCAGGTAGCCATCTTATTGTTACGAAGTTTGCTGAAGTCATGCAGCAACTTCCCGCTGGGAAAGCGCCGTCATTTATGGCCATTCGGAACCGCATTCTAAAAGGGCCGCCGGAACGGCCATCAGACGAGGACACCCATTTTCGTATGACAGACGAATGGTGGGCGCTATGCTCACGTTGTTGGGCGGAACAACCATCCTCCCGCATCAGTGTATCAGATTCTGTCAAATGGACTATGCGGGTCAGTATAAATGGCTTACACCTCTCGGAAACTAAGACAATAATACGGCTTTCCTAGCTTCTTCCTAGTATGTGTGCGGTATTGTTCATTCAGTCGAAACTACAACACTTGTTTGTGTCTTCGTGGACCAGCTATTATCGCGTACGTTGGTGCCGTAGATGTCGCTTGACATTGACTCTATCTCCTCCTTTACAGAGTAATGGGTCCCACGGGATCAGGGAAAAGCAACGTGAGTGATTACCCTCTTACACCTGAACCGTCGGACATAACACTTTATAGTTCATCAACAAACTCACAGGCAATATGGAAGAGTCCAAAGCGGGAAAACTCGGGTCTTGTACGCAAGAGATCCAGGAGTTTACAGTAAACCACGCCAATGGAAAACGCTATGTGTTCGTGGACACGCCAGGGTTTGACGACAGTTATCAGTCTGACCGTGACATACTTGCCACTATCGCTAATTGGTTACAAAAGAAGTGGGCACCCAGTTATAAATGCGTTCATGTTACGCAACTCGTTCACGTTTTTAAACAGGTACCAAGGAGATATAAAGCTTGCAGGAGTCATCTACACACATCGTATCAGCGACAATCGTATGTCTGGTTCGGTGTGCAAGAACCTCGACTTGTTCGGTCGGCTGTGTGGAGACAAAGCTGCGCAGTGCGTGCGGTTGGTGACAACCATGTGGGATAATCGAAGACCGGAGAATACAGCATTATGGGAGAATAGGGTGTCGCAACTGGAGGGAAACTTCTGGAAACCTCTTATCTCTCTAGGGGCTCGTCATGAAAATTTCCTCAACACACAGGAGTCAGCTTGGAGTATTGTGAATGGGTTAGTCGGGGCCCGTACTCCTGTGGTCCAAGGAGAGGTAGACACTGCGAGGAAGTTGGATGAAGGGAGTGTTCTTCTGATTCAAGAAGAGATGGTAGACGCAGAGAAGAAGTTCAATGAAACCAGTGCAGGAAAGGCGCTCTACTCTCGATTCCGGAGTGTACTACTGGAGCAGAAGGAGGCACTCAAACAACTTGCAAATGCACTAGCGGAGCAGGATCCGAATACGGTAGAACAATTGCGAGCAGAAAATAGTAGGACGGAAACCGAGATGCAGAAGGCAATAGAAGACATGGAAAAGATGAAGATACCGCTTGGAAGACGGATTGCCTTATTCTTTGGTCGGAACAGGGCTCGCTCCGTGAGTGTAGTTGTATCTTAATGTCGGCATATAATGACTAGTGGATACTACAGCACAAGATTGAACTGAACTTTGTACCAGGAGCATCATTAGATAACAACAGGTAGGCTTGACGTCCTGTGCGGAAGGCCGAAGTTACGCCTGGTCATGATAATGACAACCTCACTACTGGTGCCCCCACTACTCTCCATCTGCAGGCCAGTGCTCATGCAACCATTCAGCTTTCATCAGTTCATACATACTTGATTTTAGTATTACCCACACAGTATATGCGATATGTTCAATTACATAGGCTACACTTCCTCACCGCCTCTTCAGCTCTGCCAACCGGCTCTCCCACTTACATGCTTCTTCCAGCTTCTTCTCCAGCACTTTTATTTCTGCCAATGTATGTTCCAGCTCCTTCGGCCCGCCACCATACTGTATACCGTTTCCTTCGCTCCGAACACCAGCAGCGCCTGCAGGCAAGAATGAGCTCATGATAGGTGTCAATGTCCAGTTTCCGGTTCCGCCGCCTATCAGAGTGAGCAAGTGAGTATGGTATTTCGCGAGGGATGATCTATGGGAAGTGTCAGCTTGCCCCGGTATTGACAGACTGCGACCCTGATCCTCACCGTAAAGAGATAGTAATTAGGGATATATCGAGTGATTTAGCATGTTCGTACATCTGTCCTTCCACATCGCTTGACACGGCACTCGTACACTCTATGTAAAGCAGGTCAACACCAGACAAGTATAGGTACAGGCTGCGCCTCACCGTCTAAGATTGCAAACTTAGGTCGATGATAAAACACCCGCGCCAACGACATCTTAACAAGGCGGCTCAGCACGAATACCTATAGACATCTTGAAAGGACTCACCCTCTGCTTCTCCCCACCGCTCAACACATCCCTCCACTCCTTCACGGTCCCCCATCCCCCCTCACGCTCAACCAGATACCCCAAATGAGCAGCCTCTAATATCTCTTGTAAACCCCGAATATCTCCATCCTCCGCATAAAACATCCCCAGTGACTGTGGATAGATCACCTGCTCTAACAATGACCCAGTAACCATATATGCCCGCTGCGGAACGACGAATACGCCAGGTCTAGGTCTCCGCCTGTCATCATCTGCCATCTCCGCCGATGGTCGAGTGACAGATGCGAGTGGTCCACACGGCGCCCACAGGCCAGCAAGAACACGTGCAACTGCCGTCTTGCCAACCCCATTGGAACCAGTGATCATCAAGTGCATGCCTCGGTGTAACCTAATGCTCAGTGCGCGCACAAGCGTCGATGAATCGCCGTGTGCGGTCATGGCCTCTTTCTCGTTGGCTTCACCATTCATACCATTACATGACTCGGATGATGGGAGAGCGGCGGAAGGGATACAGACGTCGACGTTTTTGAGTTCGAAAGTGTTGCCGTCACCAGGGAGGGCAAGAGGTAACTTCGGCAAGTGATGTAAAGTCGAAAGGAGTGTGTATAGCCTGTAGATGATCGTTACTAAGGTGTTATACGGCACGTCTGTAATTAGTGAAGAGCGTACCGTCCAGTAAGCCCAGCAACTTCTACGAGATCCTTGTACGCGTACATCAGCCGTCCACCTGCATCGGCGAGAGAAAGCAACAATCGCCGATTTGATATGTACGCTGTATGCGGTGAGCCACTATAATACTAAGTGAGAAAGGGGGTTACTACATACTCTCCGTGCGATCAGCAAACACTCCATCCATCTCTGAACGAGTTCCACCGCCCTGGTGTTTCCGCGTTATGAGTAAAGGAACAGCAATGAGGCCGTACCCAGCTGCCGACCAGAGATACTTAATTACGAAGTCCTCCGTCCACTCGTACGCGATGCGGATCTTGTAGATGGAGTTGATGTGTCGAATGAGACGGAGATAGACACGAGTGAGGATCTCGCGTTCCCGTGCACCGCCGTCGTAGAACCTGAAAGCAGTTGGAGCCAAGTGAACGCTGTGCAAATTGTAAGACTTACGCAATCTCTTCGCTCTCCCTTGCTACCCTATTCACACCTGCACGATACTCACCCTCGAGACGTGCCTCGACGGCAGCAAGTTGACCAAAAGCTGGAGTAACGGCACGAAGTATCTGCACGCATACGTCAAGTCATGGCAGGCCCCTAGAAGGATGGCGCACCTTGATCGTAATGTAATAATTCACGAACAGTAAGACAGTGCCCCTGAACCCGAGCTCCCGTGCGAGCTGAGATGTGAAGAGAAGAAGGTCTAAAGAAGGTTTCATCAAGTTACCGCTGTAAACGCGTGAATCTTAATGTGGCGATGCATAAACCTATAGAGGACTGACTATATCCCGGCGATACTCTCGGACCACGCCTCGACGTCGGCTGTGATGTACTGATCAACACCTTGCAGTGGCACACGGTAATATCGTAGATCCGGATATGGAGAGAGGTACAAGTCGTGAATATACTCTGCCATGCGGGTGCGGAATTTCAGTGCAAGCTTCGATTGTAGATGCCGGATCTATGCGGCGACGGACAGAACGTCGTAAGTTAGATGGGCAAGTGCAGACAAGCAGCGATAGCATACCATGGAATTCGTATACACACTCGGCACTGCAAGGGCGAACCAGAGACCCAGACCTCTTATGAACCCGCGTCCATTGGCACTCACGAGATCCCTAACAATTTTCCCGTCAAGTCTTGCGACTGCTACACTGAGCACTGTGCGTAGTACGAGGAAACATGAGTGAGCGATGAGGAGGAAGGCTTCTTTCGTAAAGAGAGAGGGTATGACAATCCTGAGAAGTGCACGGAGCTGGTGGAGAAACGTGCTCGTTACACTCTTTGGCTTTGGGCGTCCATTCGATGCCCGGGCCCGTGGGTCGACAGGAAAGTACTTTGCATCTGAATCGTGGCTCTCTCGTTCTCGCACTACGCAAGGACTCTTCTCCTTTGAACGGTTCGATGGGGCATGTCCACACGGGCGGAAGACTGCCGTCCGAACGATGAGTGCTGATGCGAGAAGTAGCAACAGCGACCGCCGTGCTGGGGGGTGTTGGAGTAGCCGATTGACTTGATGGACGACATTGGCAGCGACATGGACATCATTCTGGGCCAGCTTCGAGAACGTCGCCATAAATGCTGCGACGATGGACAGCTGGAATCTAGAATGTCAGCTTTCGGGGTGGTCATAAGCTTGCGTTCACATGTGATTATATTAGTATCGACACTTGGAACAGCGTTTCACTTCGGTCTAGGAATAATTTGCAGACAAGTCCTTTAATTACGGTCGCTCAACACTCCAGCGACGTACAATACAAACGAACACAGTGTCACAAGGCCACCGAGCCTCGCAAGTACATCCATTGCCCCAGCATGACTCGGCCCAGGGGGTCCTGCTCTGACCCGATCCCTGTCCAAACTCGCATTTGCACCATACAACCCACTATGTCCTCCTGGAGGCTCATCTAGAGGCACGCTACCCAACCCGGTGCCACTATAATGGCCATGTGATGACGTCCTCGAACTTGATTCGGTAGCTTTCCACCCTGTGGCACGTTGCACATGCGGACTATGGAACGGATTGGGAGTACTGCGATCCTGACCGGACTTCGGCTGCTGGTGCGCTCCAGACGATGATGGATGTCGTTCATGTGTCCCATGGGCTCTAGATCGCCAATGCTGTTGTACCCAGAAGCTCCGTGAACCACGCTGTTGTGAAGGTCGGGTCGTCGTTGCTTGTGGATGATGTGATCCAAATGTAGACGAAGAGGAGCCTAAACTTCGATCGTACTCCCGTCTAGTATAAAACCGTCGGAAAACAGCAAATATAGAAAGACGAGAGAGGAAAAAAGAAGGCGTTAGTTAGAAGAAACGAATCACAGACTAACATAGACCAAGAGAGTTTCGGGTACAAACCCGAACGCACCGTTTTCGATCGTCACTCAAGATGGAGTAGGCCTCGCTTACAGCTTGAAACTTGCTTCCTGAAGCAGTGTCTCCGGCAACATCTGGATGATACATTTTGCTCAGCTGTCAACGTATCTCCTGAACCTGTTTCAGCATTCTGAGATGTCGGAGCGTACCTGATAGAACCTTGTCTTGGAGTGTGAACGTCAACGGTAAATTCGAAATGGTATCATAATGAATAACGACACCTTTATCTGAGCCTTTGTAGCAGTTCTAGGAACCGAAAGAATTGCATAGTGGTCCTGCTGCTTTGCCCGTTTACACGGACTGGACGAAAACTGTCGGTGACTCATCCACACGGCAGCCGTCCAGCATGGTTCGCTCTGTATTCTAGCCCACCTATTCAGGATTGACGACAAACATGTTGAGGATCGTCGAAGCGAAGGGTTCATCCTCGACGTTGATGACGGCGAGTTCTTACTGGCAACACCAAGTCTTTGCCGTGACCCCACCTTCCATTCACGGTATAATAGCCCCTGAGTAGGAACCTAGATGTCTTTCCAATGCATTCGCAAGTACTACCCGCCACTAACACCTTCAGCCTCAATAAGCGCCTGCTTCTCCTTCTCTCTCCCTAATCTTCCCTTTCCTCTCGCTAGATCAACCTGGTGCCAACATTTCCTAGCCACATGAATCACCTCCATACTTTCGTCATACACACTCTCAAACCTATTCACCTCCACCGCAAAGCGACTGATCCTGTCCTCGCCCTCACCTTTACTAATTCCATCCCTCCCACCAGCAAGAACATCCCGCACACCAAAAAGGAACCTGTCTAGCACCGCGAGGTTGTGTGCCGCTAGCATCGTATGTGCAGACATCTCATGTGTGTGCAACAAATGGTGCAAATATCCCCGGCTTCGCGGCGGATTGTATACCACTTTCCCACTCCGATCTCTCTCCTCGTACGATTGTACATCGGCCTTGCTATGGAGGATATGCGAAGTGGGAGAACGTGGCGAGCAGGCAATGCAGGGACATATCGGAAGTGGTGCTGAGAACTGAGACTGAGGTTCCGCCGCTCCAGCCAAACAGTCCGACAACCTTCCATACTGGCGTGCGTACCCTTGATCATATAAGTTATGCCCCACATCCTTTTTCTTACCTTCTTCCGAAGGTCCGTGATCAGGAGGTAAAGGAAAGGCGAAATCCAATGCAACACCGACGTGAGCAGCTGCAATCGCTAGATCTGCGTCAAAGATATCCACACCGACATCTCGGATAAGTCTAAGCATCTCATGTGGGGACCGCAGCGCCGGTCACCAGTCGTGGCTTTCCTTCTGGAAGCTGCTTAAGAGAGGCCTGGAGCAGCGAAGCAGTATCTGGGAGCATGGCAGACTCCGGGATTCTTGATGGCAGTGGAGATGGGGTGTGAATATCACCGTTCTCTGGCGTCGGAATCTCTATCAACTTTACCGCATCTTGAAGCATATTAGGTGACTCCTGCTGGAGCACGTTGTTTGGTTGGGTTCGGCGGGGCGGACATAGAGGCTTCGGAATCGATCCCCGCAACGTCGCGAGGTCGAACGAGTACCCTACGACGCCGTCATCCAGGCGCTTGGTGGGCTTAACAGCTTCGAGATCAGGGCCACAAAGCTCTTCGGACAGGCTATGTGCGAACTGCTTCACGAGCAGGAATCGAGGTTCCCCCAGCCATATTAACAAACACGTTTAGTGGGTGCTGAGATGGTTTCCCTGACGTTGTCAGAGAGGAAGATGGAACAGAGCGCTCCAGTGGCCGAAGCATGTCCACGAGCCAAGCAATACTACGTTCTATACTCTTGGTCACACGTTTCTGCGAATGTGGGGGCGCCGTGAACGGTGTATCGCTGAGCGCAAACACGACGTCGGGCTGCAGCTTGTACACATACTTTCTCCAATCAGAGAGCGTCACCTATCGACTTGAGTAAGTTAACGGTGATACACGAATGATCACAAGGGCAATACTCCGCTAACCTTCCTCACACCCCGCACGCATAATGCAGACATGTATGCGTTACCATTCGGAGGCATCTCACGCGTATCCATAGGATCACGGAGGCATAGAGACACGATATGTTTCCGTTTGTCGAAGCCCAAGAAATTGTGCAGTGGATCTGGTCTCGTTTGTAATGTCGGCACTGGGGGAGACTGTTCTATACTATACGCACCGGTTCATATGCATCGGCGATGGCGGTATAAACAAACCAAACACGCTTCCTACGAGAACGAAATGACACTTACAACGACTCGAACGGAACATTAATCCACTTGATAGCGTCCGCGGAATTGCAATGGTCGCGTGAAAGATGAGGAACGACTCCGCGGGAGGTCCCAACGAGAATATTTGGGGTATCGAGAGTGACGGAAGATGTTCCATCAATTGCAATATTAGTAGTACATTCCTCCCGTGGAGCCGCTAAAATGATCCTCCCAACCCGAGGTCCAAATCTCGACTGGCAGGACTTCTGGAGACCGAACGTCAGCATGCGCACGTCACTACCCCCCTGTGAATGTGATTCTGAATCCAAAGCGGTTCCCATGAAAGTTCGATCGAACGGGATATCTGCGGGTGGTGATAGAAACTCAGAACCGTGATTGTGCACAAGAAGAAGATGATCAAGATAAATAATTGAGGCATCTTTTTGGCACTGCCACCACAGACATAAAGGTACCCTTTAGATAAGCGGCGAAATTTAAAAAGATTAATTTGTGCGATGGGACATATGATGGCCCCCCGTTCTGCAGTATGTATATGAGCCCCAAATTACTTGCATTGCATCCAGACGTACTAACCATCAAGTGAATTTTCGCAGTAGCCGCGATCAATTGCCTGTTTGATGGCGTTTGCTGTTCTGTAACTGTAAGACGAGGGTTGGTATAATACCATTCATAAACTCAAGGTGCAACGAGTCGCAACGGTAATTTACAGATGGCTCTATTACGATTAAGAGTAGATCTAGTTATAACATAAGCTAACATAGCATAAGCAGAGGAGCCATATGATGCCAATGAACTGACTTGTTGTCTATGATACATGTCATGCTTGAGAGTACATACAACATGTGTGACGTGGCACGGGTTTTCACCTTCTCGAACTCTTCAGTGCCCTAAGCTGGGGGATAACGTCATTCACAGCTTGTGTAGACATCCCGTCCCTCCCTTCCACCATCACGATCACCTCTTGTTTTTCAAGAGAATCCTCGTTCACCAGGTGCCTATTTAGCGTATCACTTTCGGTAACCTCGGTGAAGTGAGCCAAGAAAGAAAGATTCCAGGAGGGTAGTGACACTCGAATGAACCGAGAGAACAGCTTGCGTGTCCTAATTTTATGACTGTTCTTTGGACACTCTTTGGATTTCCCGCGCTCGTGGACAGGCGGGCCCATCCAACTATCCGGAGGCATCCACGTCCAGTCCGACGTGTCGAGATGGGTAGCGGAGGACGATCCACAGGCGGCGGTAAAACCACTGCCATGTTTCATCGAAGACACTGGAGAAGGTAATTCCGACGAGTCAAGGCTGCTTGGCGCCTGCAGTGATATCTGAGATGCGTCACAAACGGTGTGGGGACGAATGCTCGCGCTCGAGTGTACCCGTCGAGCATGCGACGGGTGAGTGGATGTAGAAATTACAGGTTTCGGGCGTTCCGCATTTAGAGGCGATATGCCTGCCGAACGAGGACGTGGCGTAGTTGGTGTTGTAATGAGAACAGAATTTGCACGCCTGTGTAGTTTACGTGGAGGAGGCGATTTTGTGCGGGGTAGGAATGATTCGTGGATCGGGAATAGGGAAATTGGTTCCGAAACTGTCCTCGTTTTCATGCGGGAATCCACGAAGGACGCCAGGGTGCTTTTGATACTGCTGGGCGACTTGGGCGGGATGGACTCCGGCCTCGACCCGGAAGCGGTCCTTGGCCAACAGCGCATCACAATATGGGAAGCGCGCGAAATCGGAGAATGGGACTCCGCTGCAGAGGATCCCGGCATGGAGACTACAGCACTCAAGTCTAAGGATAAGATACGTGGAACTTTTTGGAGTGAATCAGAAGAACCCTCTGGCACTTGTTCCGGCACCTCTGGATCATGAACTGTCTTGTCGACAAGTCTCTGGGTCGTCGCAGCATCGCTTGGCTGACCAAGGCTTGATGCAGGACGGGAGGGCAGGTTGTCCACATTATGTTGCATCTTTCGGGCGTACGCCGGAAGTAGGACGTCGTGCAGACTAGTGCACTTGTCTACCACGATGACTGCGGCCGGATGCCGGGAAAAAGCGGAGATACAGGCACTTTGGAAAAGCACACTCCTCAGCACGCTGCTTTTCGATAAGAACCTCAGGCAACAGTTGGGTAGCAAGGAAGAGTTCTAGGTGACGAGTTGTTAGCCCTCGTTCTAGCTTTCAGCGCTCGGGTAGTCCGTCGTCCCTGACCCCGAGATGTCAAGCAGGCGTTGCTCTGACGATGGACTGACAAGTTGTCACTGAAAACGGGGTTGTATCAAGTGGAGTTCAGTCTAAAGGCAACGTAATGGCTTCTTACCTGAGAAGTACGGGCAGAGAAGGGACGATGTTGATAAGGGTAGCAGAAGCCAGATGGCGAAGACAGTGCTGGCGTGATTACTTTGGACACGGGTTTGTTTGTTTAGTAGGACGCATTTTTATCTCTACAAAAAAAGCCCTCTGATGACCGGGCATCAATTGATAATGCACACTAGTGATTATTATTGCCGCCTCCTGGGACGTCGCTGGTGGATAAGTCGCCCGAAGTTCTCGCAGTGATCGGAGTCGTCAAGTACCTGTGACAAAACAGCGAACTGCCCCTGCTTAGTGTGTTCAATGCAGTGCTTGCCTAAAGTAGCCGGTACGGGCGATAATCGATAAAGCTGGGCAACTAATAATCCCGAGGCTCGGGTTTCATGCGAAACTAACAGTAACAGGAAACCGGTGAGGGCAGCGGCTGGCTGTCTTGCGCTACGCCTGCAAGGCAGCCTTGGACTCAGTTTTCAGTTATTGGTGTCAGTCTTCGCATTCGGAGGCCTAATACCGCCGGTAGCCATAAGGTGGACGCCACTTACTCCTTCGTTGGGTACCTGTACTAGAACTGCCGTTCCGTGGCGCCGCCCTCTGGTGCTCGGTGTGTGTACTTCATGTGTGTTCCAATAGTACGCTCGACTGCCCATCTACTGTACACACGGCCGAAAAACTCGGAACAGTCAGCTGATTGTTGCTTCGCGAGCCGGTGGCATGTAAACTTTCCTGAACTCTAGGGTTCCTGTCATCGCGGACGTCAAGCAAAACACGTCTGGGGCATGTCCGAAGTTGTCTAGCCTGTGCGTGTTGGTTGCGCCACCTTCTCTGATTTGGTCTGGGTGTCCTCCCTAGTCGGCACGCGATATGTGGCACTCAGTTTCGGCTTTTATTCACGCCTCCGAATCGCTATTTGCACTGGAGGCAGTACCACTTAACCGCCTTCCGCGCAGGCTTACCTCTCATGTACTGGTACTAGATCCTGCCGACGAACAATGCAAGCTCTCCCATGCGTGCCGTGGCCATTGGCAATTACAACTACTGGACACTGCATGCCTAGGCTTATAGCACTGGTTGGCTTTCAAATAGGACCGTCAGGCTATCACGCTGTGCAAAGAATTCCTTAGCGCAACAAAGGTGTGCAACCATTCTATGGGCAACTGCGAAAGGTAACGTGCGGCAGTATGTAAACAGTGATCAAGATAACGACGAACCCAATACTAACAGGTGGTACGTGGAACTCGAAGGTCCAAAAATTCATGATGTCCGTAATAAGAGGAGGTATTAATGTAGGAAGACTGTCAATGCGCCAGTGACCCAGACCGAGGAGGATATGCCGTAGCTCATAGGCGCCGCAGGAGAGCTGAGCCCGACAAAAACATGACAAGCAGGGTTGCGACGATACCAGCGAAAGCAGGGTGCGAAATGTACTGTGATAGCGCACCAGAGCATCCCGGGCATCCCCAACCTTCAAAACTTGAATAAATGTGGTATCAAGCATAAGAGGGAAAACATACCGCTACTAATTGGCGTGTAAGGTTGGGGGGTGTATAGTGCAAACGTCAATCCGCTATTTGGAGTCAGGTATCCAGGGGCGCGAGGAGCGTCCGGCCCCTGGTCACCCCATATCCTCAAGTTGTACTCTGCCTGAGCCAGCGGCAGGTTCGGATGCGACGTCTGGTAGGAGTATGGATCCCAGACGACGTTGGTAGCAGTGCCGGGTATTATACCGTTGGTCGGACCAACGGGGTACGTATTCCCGTTTTCGCAAACGGCGGACACGGTCAGATGTGTTGGTGTTGCTATAATGTAGCTGAAGTTCCAACCAAAGGTGATATACTGACTGGGTGCAATTTTGAAATACGAAGTCGACTGCTGAGGTGGTTGGGTGACTGTGATTATGCCAGCTGGGGCACTTTGGGGTATCGTGGGCATGGCATTCCCAGTGGAGGTGGAATTCGACTGTGTCTGGGTGCCAGTCTGTGTGCCCGTCTGGCTCTGCTGAGATGCAGTTTGCGTTCCGGTCTGAGATGATGTCTGCTGCTGCCCTCCATTTCCATTATTTCCATTACCGTTATTCTGGCGTTTTTCCAGCATCTCTGGGTAACTGCCCTCCATGGCCAACAACCCACCAGTAAAAGAGGGAGAGAGAAAGAACGGGAAGGAGAAGAGAACGTGAGATGCAAATTCGACGCAAACAACCGTCTTTGAACCGAAGAGACGGGCATTTCTTAGCCTGTAATTGATTTCCTATTGGGGATAGCGCTTTGAAGACCTCAGGAAGACTGACGCTATTACCCTTCACATCGTCAGGTCAACCGCTGGGAAACAGAACTTCAGCTCGTCGTCGATCTTGCTTAGCCTTTTACTACCTGGGAGGTGCGTTTGCACCGCTATCCTGCAAGGATAATCGTGGCAGAATCAGGAAAGTCCGCCTTGGAACGTGGTCAAGTGTGTCATATATTGCACACCGCCCCGCACACATTCGGACGTAACAAGTTCCTCGCAACTCGGTGAGCTTTCCTTGAGCGCGAAAGCCACCCAGCATCAGGCTTCTGGTCACTCTCACTTGCCCGATGTTCGACGAAAGTCCTAGTCAGCCCCCGTCCCCAGCCCAAGCACTTGTTGCACTTGGGCCGCTCGAGCCCGAGTGGCAGCCCGTATTCCAGGCTTCAAACCAAGTCGTGCTTTACAACCCAACTTCCCATGCGCTGACGATACATCCAAATGCAACGCACTGCTTCCCTTGCCCGTACTGCCGCCGTCCGCTTCCACCAGGCTTTGCACTTGAGGAGGATATCCACATCCGTGAAAGATCTTATTCAAGGCCATCAAACTACTTCAAATTGTTGTCTGTGTCAAGCGACACCTCTCGGACATCAACCCCACCTCCTCTGGCAAGTGGAACTTCACAGTCTGCATTCCCTAGACAGGCTATGGCAGAAGGATACTTCAAAAAGTTCTTTCAAGAAGAGTACCGCCTGGGTATGGGTGCCTACGGAAGCGTGTATCTTTGTCAAGTTAGCAGGTGATCTTTAAGATTCGCCTAATCTTACTGATCATGTTGCAGCATGTTCTCGATGGAAACCCACTAGGTGCGCTTCGACTCATCCCTTTCATGACGCTCAGCCAATATTTTCATACACGTAGGACATTTTGCTGTCAAAAAAATTGCAGTGGGAGAGTCTCACTCGTATCTCCTCAGTATCTTGCGCGAGGTTTGTGAACAGACTATATGGTCTAGCGGTATTACTTAAAGGGAGTCTCTAAGATCCGTCTTCTGGAAACTCTTCGTCATCGGAATATAATCACTTATCATCACGCGTGGCTTGAATCATATCAGTTTTCTTCCTTCGGCCCGAAAATTCCAACACTACAGTTGAGTGCGCCGCTAAATTCTCGCGGCATCGATGTTGATGAGCGACTTCAGCGTGCTCATGCAGTGGGCGGAGGGCGGCAGGTATGTATATGAATGACCTTGGCTCTGTACTTTTTCTGAACGTCGACCACTAACAGCTTGGACGATTTCATCGACGTTCGACTTGGGCGGCCGTCTAGACTACCTTACTTACAATCATCCTCATCCTCGTCACCATCGGATTCCCCGTCTGCCCGTATACGTCAGTTCCGTGCAATGCAGCGTGCTCCGCCGGAGGAACGCGAACGTCTTCGCCGAGAAATGGAAGAAAAAGCGGCTGCTAGAAATACTGGAAAAACATCATGGAAGGCCGTCCACCTTCTAAGCGCGGAAGAAGTACAGAGCTTGTTTTCGGACGTGGTGGAGGGTCTTTCCTTCCTGGTTTGTCAAGGTTGTCTTTGGTTGTCACCAACTAAGACTTGCGAGTTAGCATAGTAGATCGATACTGCATCTCGATTTGAAGCCAGGTAATGTTTTATTGACCCATGATGAAGGGAAGCTCATGTAAGTGGTTGTGATCCACGCATGCGTCCGCTGACTTCCGCCGACAATGCAGTCCCCGTGCTATGCTTTCTGACTTTGGCACCTCTCGTGATATGCTTCAGTCTTCTGGATCGCGCTCGGGAAATACCGGGACGTAAGTGATCCACACCGAACGTATCCATGTTACCTCATGATTATGGATCAAAGATTGGAATACGCTTCACCTGAATCTTTACCCTCACCCCAAACCGGGTTCTTGAAGGAGGTAGACTCGAAATCCGACATGTGGTCTCTTGGAATGATCCTTCATAAAATGCTTTTCTTCCGGTTACCTTATCGATATGCTTCGGATTCCGAGAGGAGCGAGGAAGGGGAAGCGGACATACTAAATAAACTAGAACAGGAGATACTGGGCTACTCGGGGTGAGCAATTCACAATATCCCCTGAGTTACCGATGTACTGACAATTCACTGCAGATTCCGGTCAACATCGTCTTTATCTGCTGCCTTCGAGTCTCGGCGCCTTCCTCGAGCCTTCCTTATTTTGTTGGAGACCCTTCTCAGTGTCATTCCGTCTAGTAGACCATCATGTGAACGGATTGCGGGCGCCATAAGGGAGGGAAGAGTATGCACAGGTGCCCTACTTCGTGTGACTTCACTAATCACATCCTAGTTCAATCCCGTTGCTCCTGCCCCGGACGCATCAGGAACGTCTCTGGTTCCCCTCCGTAAGGCAACCGACGAAGCTTACACGGGGAATTCCTTCGAGAGACCGGTAGCCATGGTACCTGCATCAGCGACCAGTGGGCAAAGTGGTAGTGAAGATATTACTGTTTCGGAGCCCTCCCTTCCTCATTCAGATGAAAAGACACCACTTTTACAATTGCTTTCCCATGCTTTGCCTAGGGGCTTATCTTCTTGGCACGTCTTCATGGGCATGCTTCAGGCTCATCGACCGCGCATAACTAAGGATGCTTGGACAAGAACTTTCAAAGCATGCATGCTCGCTGCCAAGGTACCTGTTTTGCCACCAGATTTGACTTGCATTAAGCAATCGCTCCGTTTAGGCGGTTTCCATCGTTGTTTCGTGGGACGCGTTCCATGTACGTCCTGGACTGCTGACAGTCTCGGTTTTGGCTGCGCTGGCAGATCCGTTTTCAGAACAACTTCGGGTATCGTTCATCCTTGCACTTGTCCACCTAGGATTAATATGGGCAGCAAGACGGGTCCAGTTTACTACTTTCGGGTACCCCACATACTAGTTGCATTCGATCTCGCTATCACACTCTTGATTTACTATCCAATGCAAATGAACCATAGCAGTGACGGTGCAAGTGACTGTTTGGAGGCAATTCCATGCTGCATATCCGAGGGAGTTGGACGGCTCGACGGCCTTTCACCACCGCTGTCTCTATCGATAGGAAGAACATCGCCGCTGGTTCCAAGCAACGTGTCCACACTATGTGGAGTTCTTCCACTCTCCCCTCTTGGCAGGTACCCTAGTGATGTAAGTGGGGTTAGTTGCAGCACCAGGAATACCCACAAGTATGGAGACGGCCCCCTTACGCAAACTCTCGTATGGCTATTTTGAGGAACTGCTTCTAGTAGTTTCTGTGGCGAACTTTGGAGCACCAGTCCAGCTAGACGGACTGCCAGGGTTATATTAAACTTAGGGCGACTAACTATGCATGCACCTGCTAGTCCGTGTAAACCAAACTGACTGGTAGAAAGAAACGTGCTTTACAGGTCCATATGTAACGATTCGACACCATTACCGTTCTTTATATTATGAGCTCCGGCATTATTGCTTTCGTCAAGGTCATGATGAATGGTTGCATAACACAGATAACCACCTTGAAACGTCAATATTATCGGCCCTTTATGTTATACGGTCCGCGGCTTGCATGAAATGAGTTTGGCTACTCGTTCCAAACAGCACCACCCATTCCAAGTATTGCTTTCCAAAAATGCACGTCGTCCAGGGCTATCAACGTCTTCAGATTAGGCAAGGCCATCTTGAGATATCGTTCAACAGCCTCCGCATGTCCAATAATGGAGTCAGAAATATTGAGCTCCTCAAGGGGTAACGACCGCCACGCCGACTTCTCCTCTGGCAGAACCCTAGCATCGATCGCCATGCTGAGCCTAGAAAGCCGTGAGCAGCCTCGCACGAGTTCTCGGAGACTTCCAATGGTCGTGCGGTGCGAATCAATCCATGGGAGACCGCGCAGTCGCAGTTCCTCAATAACTGGCCATGAAAGGGCCGCGTGTTCAATGAAGGGGTCATCAATGGCGAGATGTCCGATATCCCTGATATCAAGAACGCGAAGGCGATGACAGGCAAGGAGTGGTTTGAATGTTGACGGTGAGTACACGAAAGGTTTAAGGATGGAACTATCCAGGGAGTAGATGTGATGTAAGACGAGGATGTGCAAGCCTCGTGAACGGCCGTGAGCTCGCTGGACCTCCTGGAAGAAGGTATGCATGACAGCCTCACTAGCCGGCGCGGAATAAAACACTGAAATTTCCCGGAGTTGAGTAGAGGCTGTGACGCGGAGTATGTCACAGAGTTGATCCAGGGTTGGGGTAGTAATTCTCATGCATTGCAGCACTGGGAACACTAGCGGATCAAAGTGATGCAATGCAGGGACTGGGTCCGCAGTTAGGGTCAGACTCAGAACTTGTAAGTTCTGCATTTGCCTGGGTTGGAGTAAGCTGCTGGGGGGGATGTACAGCTTGGTGGGGAAGCAGAGCGTGCGTAGGTAGGGCATCCGGTCAAACCTCAATGCTGAAGGGTGAACAAACGATTGCTCGTGGGCATAGGCATCGATTTTCAACACTCGAAGCGAAGGTGCACGATTCGTGACAGATTCCAATAATTCATGAAGGTCATCTGGCTCGAGGTGACGAGGCAACCTGAAGCGTAATTGAGCAAGGCGAGGGGAGAGGACATCATCCAGTAGCGATAGCGGGATTCTGTCGGCAAGGAATCCGAGGTTCAGGGTATGAAGTGACGGGAAAAGCGCATGGAATACGTCCGGAGAAATTATGGTGCACAGAGTAACGTCACCAACATCGAGTAGTCGATCAGAGCTCCTGCAAAGCTCAAAAACACGAATTCGGAAAGAATATTTTCTCAAGCGAAGCCAATCCTTAATTGTGGGCTTGCTGACTATTTCCTGGCTACAATGAGCAAAGGATCCGCGACGAGTAGTGACGATAAAAAGACATACAATTGCACCCCATGAGTCCTGCGCCCAGAGGTGACCAGGCAGGCACTTCACAAGTGGTCCCAACGCACATTGCGTTCGCCAAAGTACGTCGAGTGCGGGGTCCGTGAAGGCTCTACACGTGCGAGCAAGTCTTGCGATGTCACTTTTACGGCAAGTTGATCGCGACTCGGTGCCGTTCTCCACGAACCCAATAATATGTAGTAAAATTTCGGTAACGAGGAGGCACGGATGCATAGCTCAAGTGGGTGGTTGTCGGGTAACGCGAATAAACTTGGAAGAGTCAACACTCCGGCAAGAACTTAAAGGAAGACTGCCATGCCGTTGTCATCCACATCTACGGTTCAATGATGAGTAATGAGCTGAGCATCATGTGCTGCTGCGTTATGACAGGACGCTCACCACCGGAGTTCCATCGTTGGGAACCACACGACACATACCCTCCGTTGCCGGGCAGCCGAATGCAAAATGTTACATGACAATCCATGATTGGGGGCTTGGAACGAGAACTCGGACACGAGTCTGGGGTCTGGCGACTGATCCCGGAATTTGACACGTAACACTTCTCTCCGAGAACAGACACTCCGCTGTCACGCCACCACGCACACGTCGAGAATCATCGAAGAGTCGGTGACTAGGCGATGTCCGTAGCTTCCAAGCCTCGGCAGAATGACATTGACAATTGATTCGGGATAGTGTTAACAACATCACTGAAGTTGTGGAACCTAAGCTGTGACACTTGTGGCGCGGAGGTGGCAAGATATGGCTGGATCGACTCATTGCTACCTGTCCCAATTTGTCCGGTTCTCGTATGCAATACAATGCTAAGTTTCTGAAACTGGTGTTTAGTAGACGAGCAGGTCAGGGCACCCGAGCCGATTAGGTCATACAGGCTGGACTGCGGTCTTCGTCGGATGATAAGTGCCTGGATAGTGTGCTGGCGCGGTAGCCAGATAAGTGATAAATCCACTGGGGCAGGTACATACCATGTTGTATATGACCTGTGGGCTTGGTGTGAGAACTCGGTGAATTGCAATCCGGGGATCTGGTAATGATAATTGACGAAGGTAAAGAATAAGGTGGTTGCTGAGCGCTGAGCCGTGGTGACTGCGGCCCGATCGCACCTAAGTTGACTCGATCCTACTTCGACCATCTGTCTCCACATCCCTGCGTGAAATGAAATCGAGCAGGGAATCTCTTCTCGCGGCCCTGCAGCTGCCCTCAGGTCTCGATGACGAAGTACATACAACCAGCAGTTTGGGGCTAGCCATCGTATAATGATGCTATTCGCTTTAGGAGCTCTCCAGGGCTGTTTCTGACCTCGTATCTCTCGTAGTGACAGGGGTACAAAGTGCCAGAGTGACGCTTCAAGAGTTGGTCGATGCAATTAGAGAGTACGAGGGCACGGAATACTTGGCCAGTCCTTTCGACCCCTCCGGTTTCATCCTATTGATGCGAGTTCGGCCTTCTTTCAGGAGCCATTGACCATCCTTCCCATCCTGCTGTCTTGTAGCAGTGATCATGCCCAGGAGCTGGTTCGTGTCTGCGGGCTAAGCAGCAGCGCCAAGGAAATAATGATTGTGATACAAGAGGGCATAGAAGAATTGCAATGGTATTATCATGTCGACGACGGGGAGGCACAGGAAAAACCTATCACGGCGCCTGTACAAAGGCTCATTGGTTTAACTGTGCTATGCACGACAGGTGGCTGCTCTTTTGGAGTTCTTGTAGTTCATCGATGACCCAATTTAACCAGCGATTCCCCGACTGAGGCTTGGGAAGAGAACTCCCTTTCAACTTGCCGGCCCCATTGTTTTGGACATTCACTCCCTCGTACCGTTCGCTGCTCAAGAGGCCACCCAACATGAGGGTCGTTTGTTATTGCGCGAGGTTGCTCGTTTAGTCAGAGCCCTCCAACCCTGGACATCGGCCTCTGCCTCCCAAGATGACCTTGGACAAATGAAGGTTCGCCTGGTTGTTGGTGTGCACTTCAATCCGCTGATCATCTTGCTATTCCAGAAATCGCTTCGTGATCTCCTTGATACTACGGTCGTAGCGTGCGTATCCTCGATACAAGCTTCCCTCTCCGTTAGGGAATTTGAGAGGTTGTTTCCGCGCTTGATTGTGAAATCTGCCCTCCAAAAAGGCTGGGAAGATGGGCAACGGGTTATGACAGAAATCCAAGTATACGGTCGCCCTCCCATTCACAGTCATTCCCGGCTTACTTCTATTGCTAGGATGCTCTAACAATTTTGGGCACCCCTCCAGAGCTACCTGAGCCAAAATCAACCAGCGACTTGATATACCTCGCGCATGCTGAGCCTGTTGTTCCCTTGTCTTTGGCGAACTTGACCCAGCTTCATCCGTTGCTTCTCAACTCTTTGCAGAGGAACGTTGCCAGCAGATGAAACACTCTTCCTTTTGCTCCGGTTGCTGGGGCCAGAAAGTTCACGCTCTGACGCTACTGAAATTCCCCCAGATATTGCGGAGTCTCTTTGCAGCGTTCTTTCGGTTTTAGCTAGCACTCATCTCGGATCCGTTCATGCGCCACTTAAACCTTCGATTGCTCTCCATGATCCTTTCCAAAGTTCACCAGACCAGTCAGACTCGATGTCCTACTAAGATTAACCACTGACGAGGAATTCCCGCAAATGCGCTGTGCGGCAGTAGGACTGCTCAAAGAAGCCACTCTTAGCGCGCTTTCATCTCCAGATCGCTCCACGGAACGGAACCCATTTGCATCGTCAACGTTGCTACGTGCCTTTGGACCCGTGTTGTTCAAAACCAGCCCCCCGGATTTCCTTATACTTAGTCACACTAGAGAAGAACTGGAGCGTTCCGTTGAGCTGCTACGAATCAATGACTGCCTTTCATTCTATTATGTGCTCCTGCTAAGGGATAGGGAAAATAGCGTACGCGTCATTCTCTTATTAGATTACCCTTGCTTATGGGTAATCAAAGACCGGGGTCCGTGACCCGGATAACATTGTAAGCGTCGAAAGATCCTTCCTTCGTCCGTTGCAACGGTTCCTCGAGCAGTGGGTTGGCATGCAAGGTATGGGAGTCGAGCTGTTGTTCAACAGGCGACTCACCTCACTGCACGTAGAGGAACCCTTGATGTCTCTTCTTTCTCTTCAGGTGAATCTGGAGCGAGTAGACGCCGCTGTCGCTGGCATCAAAGGGATTCCCAAAAACGAGAAAAGTGAGGGTGCTTGATTACTTACAAGCGCCCAGTTCTCGCCGCAAACGTGAGTTTAATTGCTTTTTTTTTGAGTTCGACAGCACCTCACCGCTGCGCCGCTGTCTCGCGGCATGGAAGGTCCCCACGTAAATTCCCTTGATTGTCCCCTGGGCGTTTCCACTGAAAACGGTGCCTGGCACTTATCTGGTGTGAGCCGGGGAAATGCGTGCCTGTACTAGTTTCGCCATTCCGTTAATTAGACGATACCCGAAACCTCTACTGTATTGACGAGTTTCGTTTGGTGTGGCATGACCGTGGAGTGGCGCGTACTCTGTATTACCTTGGCAGCCCTCCGTGCCTGTTCCCGTGACAGCACATCATGCATCATCCCTGAATTCAACATCTCGGCGGTGATGATCTACATGAATATTATACCCGCGAAGAACCGTGCCCAAATCCTGGACTCGCTGAATATCCGTGCATCCCTCATTTCTCTGCTTCTTGTTATTATACATTCGTGACGAGCGGTATGGTCGTAAGTTAAACAGTGGAGATGAAGCTAGGTATCCAAGACAGTGCGGAACGGAGAGGATCGAGAGTGTGCGTTATATGTAAGTAATTCCCTGGTTCGGAAACTTTGAAACCTGGCAACGGGAAGTCATCGTGAATTTCTGGTACTGGTCGCCACTGGGAGTGTCAAGGGCGATTATAGGTCATACAAAAAATGGCTACATTCCAAGGCGTCGTCCTGCGTTCTGCTTCCCCGCGCTAATCAAATTTTTGGTATTTGAGTTCGAGTTTTCGGAGGGGGAAGTAGAGGATACCGGCCAACGGGAAGGCCACTTCAAAGCCGATGTCGCCTGTTTTGGTACCGATGGGACCCTCGAACCACACTTGTTGCATACATGGAATGACGAGGCCGAACGAGAGGATGACGGCAGCTATAGCAGCTGCCCCCCAGGGCAGACGGCGTGGATTGTTCCAAGAGCTGTGATCGTAGGAGTTAAAGTCGCCGTTGCGGAAGCAGTAATGTTCGACGATTAAGATAGCGCCATATGCACTTGCCCAATACCCGATGAGGCTCAGGAAATCGGTCAGTGTTGCATAGAATCGATGGGCGCCAACGATAGATAATGGCAATGAACTAATGGGGCAAGCGGCCCATCCGAATGAAGGGGGTAAGTCAGCGATGGATGACCAAGAAACTCAGGAGGATTGACCCACATTGCTGTGCCGACAATGGAAAAAACATATCGGGGAACTCGGCTGAACGACGGTACAAGAACTTGGAAGTTGAAACAAATAGAGTAAAGCGTACACGCGATATTCGCGGTAACGCTGAGACTCAACATGACCGTGAGGAACTTCCCAAAACCGCCAACTGGACTAAGCATGGCGCTCAAAAGGCCGCCGATGTTGCCTGCCGTGCCGTAACCCTCATTCCAACTAGGAACATTTGGAGTGGCCATGACTGCGGCTACTCCAAGGCACTCCAGCACGATCTGAGATAAGTTTAGGATTAGCCATTCACGGACATGGAAAAAATCACATACGATAGGCACAACATAACCAAGATACGAGTACAAGAAGATCTTGCGACTGCGTCGCGGATAAGGGGTCAGCCAAAATGTGTGATTGGAGATAGAAGGGTCATACCTCGAAACGGTAGGTTCGTAATACATGGTGAAATCCGAGGCCATTGCAGAGTACGTGATCACAAAACCTGCGAGGACAGATGCAAAACTAAGGATAGTAGACGCTGAGGCAGGTTCTCCCGAGAATGAGGGTGCGTTATACAGATGCTTCCCGCCAACACCAAGGGCGACGATGAAAGCAAGGAGGACAGGTGGCCACGAGAGACGCTCGTACCAGGTCAGTACTCTGTAACCCATGAAAGAGATCTACATGGTTACGGTTAGTCACGAAGGCGGGGCGGTGATGTAGTTTAGCCTATATACGTACTACCAGCGCAACGATCGCAATGATGACAATTCCGACCCTTAATAGGTCATTCGCTAAGTAAGGCTGCAGAGCATGAAACGAACTAACGCTCACGTCCAGCTCATGTTGTCGTTCGAAACACTAGCGAGGGCTTGGCCGCCGAGAATAGAGTTGAGAATGTTAAAACCACATAATCCGATTAAGTTAAGAAGGGCGGGTATCGTCAGACCGTAGTACCTGCATGGATTAATGAGCAATGCGGGAGAGTGCTGAAGATGGTTGAGACTCGCCCAAAGCTGTAACGGGAGTGGACCATTTGTCGCATTCCCGTTCGAGGTCCCCATGTGTTACTAGGTTACATTTAGATGAATGATAATCTGGGAGGGAGAGCGGACATACAAGTATGCGGGGAGAGAACAAGCAAGGAGATTGAAGAATAATATTACGAGACATGAATCACGGAGGCTCAAGCCGAAGACGATTGGTCCGAGTGTTCCGGTTGAGAAGCTACTCAAAAACTGAGAAGCGGCGCCATAACCGAGGACAGAGAGTGACGTACGAAAGGATGTTGAAGTTCATGGAGAACCAGACGAAGAAGATCTTGTAGAACTGCTTGTCTGTCCGTTGATCATAAGGGACTGGGACGATACCTGCGATCGGAGTGAGCAAGACGGAAGACGGAGCGGAACGAGAGACGGACCCCTCTCCTCGACTCCCCAGCTGAGGAGGGCTTTCAGCCACGGGTGATACCTACTCCCCTCGCTATGTACGGATGCTACATCAGACTCGGCCTTCGAGGCAGCATCCTTCTCGACGTCGGACAGTTTCTCGTCTCGGAGGTCGGCCATGGTTGGCAGTCGAGGGGTGGTACAGCAAAAAAAAGATAGCGAGGGGGGCAAGGAGCTATATATCCTGTCACCCTAGCAAAGGCACCACATGATAACATCAAACTGGAAAAAAACCGCCCTGCCTTTAGTTTTCTCCCATCTGACGCTTTTGTTGATGGGGTCAACTAAATATTCGCTTATCTTCTGTCCTTTTTCGGCACATCGCCCGATCCATTCCCCCCTTTGGCAACTGTGGCTGCGCCGCCGTCCACGTGCAAATGTTGGGCTTGGTCGCTTGCTGGCCGAACTGGGGGGCACTCATTAATGCAACTGCATACTAGCTCGACGATGGCTGCCGTCGCTGTCCAACGACCGTACCGCGGCTCCCGGGTGTCGTCTTTCTACCCAGTAAAGTCGGTGCCTCCTTTGTCTTCCTTGGACAGCGCCTTTCAGCTCCAAGAGTACATCTCGCTTCTTATTCGTCTTGACGTTCACGATGTCGATACCATAGTCTCATTACCCGGAAAAACTACCCTTAAGGGCAAGGGCAAGGACAAGGATACCGATGAATCTGGCCAAGATGCTCCCGAAAGCGACGGAAAAATGGTAGAGGACGGTGAACGCAAGGGCGAGCCATCCGTCGACCGGGCGTGTTGGATCTACGAGCAATTGCGGTGCGTCCCTCTCAGGTCCTGTCAGAGTAACTTTCATTTTGGGCCTGACTGTTCATCCAACTTTCGTTAGTCGCCTCGCTCAGGACCTTTCGCACCCCCTCATTACCACACTACAGCAAGAATGTACCCGAAGCTCCTGCCCACAGATGCAGGCTGGTGAATGGCTTTATTTATGTGTCGCTCACGGGAACGATGAGGCCTTGGAGGTTTTACATTTTACCCTTCTTTGGAGTTGCCCATGTTCTTATGCCCTGTGTCTTTTTTAGCAATGTTGTGCCATCGATTACATTGTCCACACAGTGGATAGCGCGACTGCACTATTAAATTCTCCAAGGGCGTTTCCATCTCGGTAAACTTTTCACCCGCATTCCCCCCCTCGATTAAACTCAACTTCATCCGTTTCCCCATCAGGCTCTCTATTCCACAGTCATCGCACCGTCATTTTTCCTCTCTTGCAAGAAGGCTTAGCCGGATCTTCTCGCACGCCTATTTCCATCACCGGGAGGCGTTCCAGCAAGCCGAAGCCGAGTCCTCGCTTTATGCCCGTTTCCTGAAGCTCACCGAGTCTTTTCGACTTGGTTCCCCCAGAATTTCTGGTCATACCAGAGAGCGCCATTCAGGCAGATTGCAGAAGTCGGGAGGACGTTGAACCGCCTCGTCTTCTCGCTGCTGCAGTTCATCCCGATCGAACTTCTCCCAGCGACAACCCTGTTGCAGAGCAAACTCACTCTATACCTGCAATGGATAGTGGTGCGCCGGTCTACTCGCAGACGGAGGACACTGGCTCTATGGGCAGCCGCCAGCCCACGTCGAGTTGGCCGGAAGTCGTACAGACACGATGATACTCAACGAGGTTCACAATATAACTGAGGAATTGGTTAAAAGCGTACCCGGGAGCGAGGTCGGGAGCAGCACACTGGATACTCAGGTTGTTGATTCGGAGCCTTCTCTTCGACAAATGTGGATCGGCGAACAGACCGAGCTTCAGGAAATGGGCGATCCTCACGTGGCTGAGGAGCCGGTCCCAACGGCTCCAGGGTCACCGCCAGTCGATGAAGTTCCCCTTATATCTCTCGTAGAATTGCCAGATTCTACAGAAGCCCCTTCGGCGACATCTCTGCAGTCCGACCCCATACTTCCTATGCCCAAAATAAAGGAAGAGCCCCCCTCAACCACCGCTTCGATTGTTGCGATGGCAACACCTGAGGAAATCACGATGACCGACCCAGCGTCAACTACGGATGCAAACGTGGAAAGTCCTATCGTCCCCCGATATTCGAACCATTACAGACTCAGGATACACTGGACTTTTTGCAGGAGCCGCCTTTTTCTGAAATAAAATTACCCGAGGAGTCGCAATCCGCCTCTGATCCAAACCTTGTGCAAGTGGAAGAATTGCACCCAGCACACGTGGAACCTGAGACGAAGGAATTTTCACTGGACCTTAGTGAACCTCCACCTTCAGAACCAGTACCACCAGAAAGCGACGTCACTGACGAGGCTATAGTTCACGACGACGACGACGAAAAGGAGTAGTACAGAGAATGTTGAATTTTTTCATGAACTTCACATATCACCTTCTTCGCGGCTCATTCTCGTTGTACGCTCTCTCTGCCCTTGCTCACAATTACTCATGACTTCGACGTGATTACTCCAAGATGCGCTCTCATTTATGATACCAGATATCTTACACCCTGTTCAAAAGATGACTGGTACATGAGGTTATTTTTGATCTCACCCGCCAAAGCACTACTGCGCTATGCCCGCTAGCCATTCCCATCAGACTCTCGGCCAGTTCTATAAAAAATTCTAGAACACATACATTCATGAAGGCAATACAGGTCACGCTTACCTCGCCCCTTTATCACCTCCCGAAATGAGTGTCCCGGCCGCCCATGGATTATATCGGACAAACCTCAAGGGGATTGGATCCATATCAATTCGTGAAATTCATTGATACGAGATTATCTTAACATGCTGCGCTGATTGAGCCTTGACAGCCCCCCTCGACGTAATGTGCTAAGTGGAGGCGTTGCCGGTACACAGTGCCTGTGCATGCTCACATGGTCTCGAATTTTCTGAAGTTTCATTATGCCTAGCAGACGCTTTCTAGTAGTCTCTAACCCAATACGGTTTGGCACGGCGTTGGCATTACGAATAGGCACTGTGGCGACAAATAATGTTCATGTGGTCGACTTAGAGAGTTCATTGCGTCCGCTCTCCTTATCATGAAATACCAACGAAATGATTTGGATATACACAACACACACATACACTGATACAATTTGGTAACTACCATCCAAAGCTCTGGTATTACAAGGATATTACCCTGATATGCCAATCCCGCGTCTGCCATCAGTCGGTAGATGAGTTTCATGCTTTCCAATACCCGTTCTTCGTCCAGACGTCGGCCTACCACCTGTACACCAACAGGCAAACCATCCATTGCCTCGGCATCGTACATGCGATAATTGTTCCGCTCGACGGCGTTCCGCGCACGAAATGACTGAAGGTAGCTTATCGGTGGTTCCGTTTACCCGGGTAATTGGCATTACCCCCGCGCTGTAATCAAGCTGACGTCCGTACGATCAGCGTTCCTATGTTCCGCAGGAAGTTGCCAAGCTCACCAAATTGAACAAAATAGCGTACCCACAAGCCTTCCATCCGTGCCGCATACCTCCATGCGGAACAGCGGGTAAGGCGTTCGGAACGGTGAGTATGAAATCGATACCATTGTCTCCTAAAGAGTCGCGGGCTTGGACACCTCGCCAGACTCTAAACCAGCGAGTACGATAATCCTCCCGTTGTACTATGAGTTTGCAGTATTCCTCTACGGTTTTCGCGTGGAAGTTCTCAACCAGACCCGCATAAATTGGATCGCGGCGGATGTATCGTAGGTACCACGCGTATATTTTCATGATGAAGCGTGGGAGCCTCGTCGCCCGTAAAGCAGGGACCATCCCTGCAGAATTTGTTTCAAAGCTATGAAATGGTTTCGAGAAAAATTTTCCGCCATCGGCGAACAGAAACTGGGAGGCAATCTGCAAACCCTCGTATGGGCAGGGTGAGTTTCTACCTGTAGGATCAGAAATGAGATGCTATAAGCAAAGGAAATTGTTCCTACAGCGTGACGATTTCGTGGCCATGCTTTGCGAGCACCTCCGTGACCATCTTCAGTGCTCTCAAACATGCCGGTGAGGGCGCAACGACACCTGATAGGACATTCAGAATGTTCTTTCCACTTGTCATTGCCACCTACCATCGTCCCATAGAACCCCCCACCTTATTGGACGATCTTGTGGCAACTGGACTTTCCTCCACGGCAAATTTATCACCTTCTCACGCTGAATCAGCCTAAAAGATAGTGAGTGGTGGTGTAGTTACTCACGGAATGGTCGTATTCCCATGGTTTCATCTGGAGCACAGCACGCCAAAAGGTCTCGAGATCTTCGAGCGTCTTTGCCATGGGACTATGACTACCAGCAACCCCGTCTTGACCAGGACCAGATGCGGCATTTCCACTCTTGGGGAACCTTTGTGTGCTCGATTTGATAGCGTAGATACCGGAGTAATGCGCAGGGACTCTGACACTGCCTGCTATATCGCTTCCAATGCCTATTCTGGAGCCTCCGAATGCCAACAGTGCACTTTCACCGCCCGAAGAGCCGCCGGGGCTGTAACCCTTTTTGTGAGGGTTCTCGGTGACGCCGAAAACGTCATTAGCGGACTCGTAGGAGAGCAAGGTTATGGGAACATTAGTCTTGACATAAGGAATTGCACCTGCGTCGTGCAGGAGCCGTACAATTGGAGCGTCATTAGACACGGGTGCGTTGGTGAATGCAGAGTAGCCCAGTGAGGAATCGTACCCCTTGACGGCAATCATATCTTTGAGCGAGACGGGTACTCCTGCTAAGGGACCAGACCGAATTGCCGTGTGCGCCCATTTCTCAGCTTCACCAATCATCACCTCCGTAAGGCAGTTTGTCTGTGCCTGTGCTTGAATCGTTCTTTTGCCATAAGCGAGGAGGACGTCCACTGGCGAAAGTGAGGATGTCTGGACAGCATGAATGATGGACGAAATGGGTTGAGACAATAATCGCTTGTCCTGCGGTGATAACGGTTCGTGGTAGGCCTGGGGTAAGGACGCAATTCGTTCCTCTCGTTCCCGGCGCTTGTCAAGACTGTGCGGTAGGTAAGTATGTTCGGTCGGAATTTGTTGCATTACAGCCAATCGCGCTCACCATGCTCGACGATGAGCAAGATACGAAAAGAGCATGTTATCCTACTGAATGGTGCTGTACTACCTTCGTAACAGTTGGTTGCAGAGAGCGAGCAGCTACATAAAAGGGCCTGCGGGTAAACTGTGAGATAAGTTCTCGTCAGCATTCTGATGAGGTTGCATTCGGGGATATGGTAACAATTGCAGTCTACCAAATGAAGCAAAGTAAATCAACCATGTAGCACTCAAGTCCCAATTGTGGAGAGTCGAATGTCCTCTCCATCGTGGTTTCAGGACGTACCCTGCCGAAGCCTTTTGCTCAAACAGCCATTGACAACATGACTTTCAATGTCCGTGACAAACTTGGAGCTTCCAAATAGCTCGCGTACGAAGACATGTAAGCACGCCAGAGGAGTGCGTGTCAACTCGCCCACAGCGCGACCGCAAGAGAATACCAGGGGGGCAAGTGCTGTGCCACAGTGTCTCCTGTCCCCGAGAATATCGCTCCTAACGCGGAAGCTTCAGTAGAGTGAGCGGGCGATGGTACACACCACTTCTCTGCGCCCCTAGTACATCTTCAGGTGAGAGAAGGTGCTTCATTATAGCACGCATTCCTCCGCGGAGGTGAGGATGGACAATCTTTCAACTCGCGAGTTTAGCATCGCCGCTCTCGCCCGAGACTTCGACATTGGTGGGGGGCTTCGGAAACGAGGCGGTTGAGTCTCGTTATTTCCGGGATTAAATATACATATATTCTCAGTCAGATGTTAATGTGATGTTGTCATGGCTTGGGCCTCGTGATGAAAGGTACGTATATGTGTTTGAGTTAATACGAGGAAGGAGGGTCAGGTCAATGATGAATCGATGCCTCTTGAGTTGGTACCAGTTGCCCCAGTCTGGCACAAGTGCCTCTCAGTCTAACGCCAAATAGGTCAGTGACATCATCGCCCGATGGGACTTCGGTGAGTAGCTTCTTCGGCAACTTAGAAATGGGGTGAAAACGACTTTCAAGAAGTACCTTATACTTCACTGACAGGAAGCCAAAACAGTTCAGTGGAATCAACGTGCATTGAAAAGATGTAAGGGGTGTACAAAGGCAGCGCCTAATAAGCGATAGCTTCAGAAGCAAGATGAATAGGGGTGAGGACGTGATGCCGGAGAGCAAACGGCGTAATACTTCTCATTATCAATGAAACGTTGCTACTTCACTCCACGCGGTCAATCCTTGGGGGATTAGGAGGGGTGTCCTCTGAGACGTTTCGGATCCCGGTCGACCACACTTCCAGCTCCTTTTCTAGCGCTACTAATGTCTCGCGTACACCATCACCTACCTCACCGCCCTCGGTTTGACGGCCGAACCCAATCAGTAATTCCATCCTCGCGCGTAGAAGGGTCTCATAGGCGGCCTTTAACCTCGCAGGTCCCGACGGCGGAAACGACCCGTTTTTTGGTTGAGATGTGGGAGGGGATGGTTCATCCACAGCCAAGAGTTTTCCAAATTCAACGAGCGACATGGCACGGACAGGATGTCCCTCGTCAAGTATGGCAGATAACCCAGCCGAATACTTCCCGGCAGTGCGAATGGTTTCATTTAACACTTCTTGCGTTAACGGCGTTGGAAATGAAGATATCAAAAGTGTTTGATGGAGCTTCAAAAGCGCTAACAAAGGATGTGTAGATGGTGTCAGCCCAGCGGAAATGAGCACGGAAATGATATTTGCGGTCAGTGATTTCGCTTTGTTGTTGTCTACATAGACAAATTATAGAGTAAGCTTGGTTGCAGCAAATGAAATGTTACATACCTTGCAAATTCGTCGCCTTGTGCAATGCCTCCTGTCCGACACGAACCACATCCATCACCGTATCAGGATCGTCGATCGCCGCCCGGCAATTGGTGCAACCGGATATTCGGCTCTCTGCCAAACTGTTAGTCGTCTAATTCTCGTTGCGTCATTCTCCACTTACTTTCGGTTGGTATCGGGCACGTGCCTCCACAAGCCTTAGGACACCACACAGCTTCACGGGGGTCTACTCCACCGGATTTAGTACAAGCTTTACAATGACACTGGAAGTTATATGTTTCCGTGAGAGTCATCTGTCGTAGTGATTTGGGAAATGTCGTGTCTACGTAAGACATCAGAATCTGGTATCGAAGATTAATTCAAGTACGAGACCATAAATGCGTTCGTACCTCTTCACCTGGAGCAATATTTCTAAGTGCGGCGACCTTCGCAACCGGCTCGTCCCTCGAATCCTTTCTGCTGCGGGGGAATACCACGACCACGTTTGGTGTACAAGAGTGGTTGATGAGAGCAACTAGTGGTGAAACGGCGACTCCGATGGGGGTCAAAGATGGCGTAGTCAGTGCAACCGTGTTAATAATAAACTAGAGCTTTCGTCAGCATGGTGTAAGAACATTTACTATATTGCGATTTCAGACTAACCCGTGATATCAAATCGACAAGGTCCGCTGTGGACATGATGCCATAGTCTTCCAATTCGGTTGGGGAGGACGCTCCGAGGTAACGAACGACGGATTGAGCAAGGTAAGTATGTCCTTCGACAGCAGACGGATGGATAGATTTTCTGTCTACGTAGGGTAACCATGAGTTTTGGTTTTGTCGAACCATTATAGAGACACACTGGACTGCATTGCCTGAATCTCTTTTACCTGACGTGCCCGTCAGCTGTGCGTATTCCGAGCATAAACCCCACGAAATCCATACCCAAATGCCACCGGCACCCTTGCGTTTGATCCGCCACAAGATCCTGCCCAAGCATCGAACAGCATCACTAGGCACAGACACCTTATCAGAAGGCGCTTCAGCAGACCAATTCTGGATTGCGGTACACTCGAGCTTGTGCGTTGGCCAGTCATTATTTTGACAAGTCTTCCGCGTCATAAGTCAGTTGGCTCTCGAGCTCAATCTAAGATGCTACTTCGCAGAGAGATGAAAAATGTATCTGATACTTACAGAGGTACAGTACCACACCTTGCGACACGCTGTACACCGTTTGAGTCCAGAAACAGGCGACCCAGCGCATCCAGAACAATGCGAGTCAAGGTACGTGGTAGAAAGCGTGAACACGTGAGGTCGCAGGGATAGTATGACATCGCCTTTGTGACGGTTAGGCTGACTACGAGCCAACGTAAATTTACACTCACCAGGTCTTATATTTGTAGACCCCTGATTCCACAAACCTCGTCCGGAGCTGGTAGACTCCCTTACTGCGAGCCACGAGGGAAGTTCCTTGTACAAATCACCCCGCGGAAGTATGTGCAGATCAGCATTATCATCCGGAGGTGTACTTGAGGTGGTCGGTGCAGCGGAATTTGCGGGCTCTGACATCGGAGGACCTATTGCACCGACATCCGTTGATACGATTCCAGTATCATTCGGATGTCTTGCTGGTCCAGACACCAAAGCTGACTCTGGTGTAGGTAATTGAGTATCTTCGTTTGCCCGTGCGTCTGCTATTACTTGAGGCGAAAGAGGCCCTGAGGTATGTGGAGCATCGGATGGGCACGATACATACGTTCTCCTCGATTTTGATTGCCTCTTGGACTTTAGATCAGCGAAAGACATCCGCTCCTTGAAGATGGAGGGGCTAGACGATAAATTGTGATGTCTGTACGGCAAATGTTGAACGCTGATTATCAACTTTTTATTCAAGTGGCGCTCATTCCTACTACGGAGACATATATTGTTGGCTCAAACTGACTACACCATCCAAAGTCTAGATCTTCCTCGACGTCGAGGACTCAGTACAAGTCATACATTATATAGTAATGGGGTTACATCGAAGAATAACGCTCACACTCGTGTAGCTGGGAACCCACCCACTTAGTATTGGCTAAAAACAAACTCAACTTCACTATGCAACACTCATCAAACTTCCGACAAAGGTCAAAATCTAATCCAAGTGAGGTCAAGACACAAGCATGAGGACCTAAGGCTGACTTACCAAACGAGGCCGGACGTCCACGATATCCTCCGGGACGAGGAAGATCAATGCATTCATCTTTCTCGCGATGGAAATGGCCAATTTGGCTGATATTCACAAACCCACATTTTAACGGTCCATCCACGAGGAGTGAGTCTATGACGTACCGTTTTGTCTTCGGTCTTCGTACGGACCAGTCTCGCTGACGTTGATGACCAGCGCCGGATCAACGATGCCTGGTCTCAGTCCTTCAAGAACGTTGAGGAAGAACAGGCCAGTGGTAATCGAGGGGTCTTTGAACGACCGAATGGGACGGATGCCAGGCTTGCCCTTTTGAGCGGTGGTATTAGCCCACTTCAGCATCTCTGTGTCGCTTATGGGTCGGCCGGACCCTGATAGTGACATGAGGGTCTTGGTAATATTCATCCTGCAAACGAAGTATAAGTAGCTGTGCCTATCAGAGGTCTGGAATAAAACTTACCTCATAAGCTGCCAAACAAGACCCAGGACGAGAGTTTTCTGCCCGTCGACGATGTCCGAACCTTGAATACCCACGAGGTGCATTCCATTCTGCTTTCCGAGTTCGACAGCATAATTTGTATTTTCCACCTGCTTGAAACGAGAAAGCGTGCTCTGGTTCGGCTTCACACCGATATCCTCCTGCTCTCCGTCTTCTAGCATAGTAGGAGGAGGGGCTTGAGCACCCCCTCTGGGTTTCGACACCCGCCGCCAGACCACGGATCCCGGGAGAATCTTATCGAAGGCTTGCAGGATGACCAATCCATCCTTGATGTTCTCAAACAAATTATAAACGCCAGGTTCAACCCCCAATGAATTAAGCCAGAGGGTGAACACTCGGGCCTCACGCTCTCCTTCCGCATCAAAGTCTTCGACCACGCCATAGTCCTTCGCCTCCTGCTCGTCAAGAGGGTCCAAGCCGGGCCATGTATTAAAGAGATTGGCGACGAACGCAAGGTTCAAACGAGGGTTACCGGCAACAAGCGATGAGACTGTGAGGTACTTCCTACAGTTGATCGCCGCGGCATTCTGCAGCACCTGTTCCGCACGTTGCCTAGTGTCCCTCGTCTGCAGAGGAGCAAGAGAACACTGTTCAGGTTTGAGTTGGTTGAGAAGGACTGTATAGTTTTCGCCATCGCAAACGTCGCGACTAAAGTTGTTGACTCTAGCGATAGGCTGTGGTCAGATGCGTTAACTTGTAGTTACTGGAAAGCCGTACCTTCTCTTCCAACCAGCGGCCTTCAAATGGTAGTTGAACCAACGCAGAAGGATTTGGTCCGGCGTAAGGCGAAGAAGATCATCAATGGTCTCGCCATCTTCACATAAACGGTACAACTCTGGATGGAGTTTGATATCGACTTGTGCGAGAAGACCTCTGCGGATGATTTGCCAGATAAGCCCGAGGATCAGGTGCTCCCTCCCTTCAGCAATATCAGAGGGACCGATATTGACGACGGAGCAACCTATAGCTTTGGCAGAGGTGATGACAATGTTGTTATTTTCCGTCATTTGAAACGCATTCAGTGGCTTGCGAGCAGTGGGTCTGTTCAGCACACGGGTATCGATAGTGTCCGGCACAGAGTCGTTGATGAGTTTGCAGAGAATGAGACCGTCACGACATTCGTCAAAGATTTGCATCGTTGCCGTCGGGATAGGGAACCGAGACCCAATATCCGGATCGTTTTCAATGACCTGAAGCCCATATGAGTGTCGGAAACTGGAACGATGCACAACTACGTACTCCATTGATGTGATTCGTGAATTCCTTTCGCTCGTCCTCGTTGATCGTATGACTGACGTTCGCATTTGACCCTTGGACTGTCACTTTTCCGGCTCTCGTGGGCAATACAGACGCTTTTGACTGTGTTCGTAGTTTGACGTTGAGCTAAAAGGGTCAGTGTGAGGTGTGCACGTGTGACATCATCGGAAGGGAAGACGCACTTCGACCCAGTCTTCGAGCTCGACTTTGCCACTGGCGTCGACGGAAACATGCTTCAGCGTCTCACGGGCTTGATCGTATGATTCACCGCTGTTCTGGAGGACCTGCAAGACAGAGCTCTTATCTACCCGTCCTGGAGTGTCCGTTTGGATCGCGCTAGAAATGATTTAATAATTCAATGTGGCGGGTAGATACAGACCGAAACGCACTTGAAGCGATTGATGAGATCGAACATCTCATCCTGAGTGACTTCGGGATGCTTTTTCTGTAGTCTGAGTGCCTGCATCGGCGACGATACAGTGTTCGGTGGTGGTGAAGATGGCGGTGATGGTGACCCGGGTGTCGACGAGAATGATGATTGATTTGATCTGGGACGCCACTGCTTGACTGGCGTGCTGCGGGTGCCCGTCAACATCACCATCGTTCAACTTGAATGGACTCAGCTGGTCAGTGGTACGTAGTACGCCCTCTCAAACTATACCATTACCCTATTTTTATAAGTACATGCTTACAGGCTGCGGGCACGCAGCACCTGCGCCGGAACCCGGGTGGGTCCTTTGAAATTTCTGTTCTCATTAGCGCAGTCCTGGGCAGAGGGCAGCGTACTGCCTCGTTCACTGCCCTGCGGACCCTTATTGTGGTGACCATACGGTCTGGTGCTTTGTCCAGGCAGGCCTTCAGTATCTCGGACTCCAGCTCTTTCTCGAGGTTACTCTAGCACCCTTAGAACTCAAGTCACCGTGGCTACTGACAGCCAAAGCCCAAGACGAATTTGATAGATTTCAACGTAGGTGTTCATACGCAAAAGTACAGGAAATCGGCGATGCACGCATGATCAAGCAATGATGCGAAAGCTACGCAGACCGCCAGAGTGGCTATTTCTTTGTTGTCGTTGTGCCAGTTTTCTTCGCTGTCGCCGAGCCAGCTTTCTTCACTGTCGTTGAGTCTGTTGACGGGGTTGTAAGTCATCGAGCATGTGGTTTGAGGGAATCACTGGCTATGCTTGGTGTACTTAAGCGCATTGTTATTCATGGTTGGCCGTCTAGACGAAAAGTAACATGTCAGTGTCAACTGCCAACACCCACACGGGACATCGATGTGAGTACTTCTTCGATTTCCCTTCACTTCGCGTTGCAGATCAGCATCAAAGACGGGTCGAGATTGGATGATGTCTGTGACCTCACCTACTCTTAGGCTGCTTGGGTTTGGCGGGTGGGGCGGCGCACCTACAATAGTGACTAGCGCATCCACACTGGTTGGAGCACGAAAGATGATACCCACGTGCCACGGCAGTCCACGATCGTTATTTCACTGGATACAAAAACGGCAAGTACGGAGCGTTGTTCACCCGAATAATCGCTACACGATATAGAATTACTGCCAAGATACGAGAAGCATCTGGTCAGCTCACTCCTGATGTTCGAAGGGCATGATCGATGGCAAGAGGAGATGCGTGATTTCAGGCTGAGCTGCGATGCCTCGACCAAGTTGGGAGTGTCCCCTCCTTATAGGGGAAGGCTGTACGGTGAGTAACCAAAGCAAGCGCCTGTTGGTCACTTTTGAGGTGTCGATCTCACGCCCTCGAGGCAGTAATGTGTCATGCCCAGGCTGACATATTATTCAGGACATCTAATGCGGCAAGCTGCATGCAACCAGCAGTGCACTCGTTATCAAGAAGCCTGGATGTCCGTTTATCTCTTCACTGCTCGTGATCAACAAGGTAGCCGGCCATCGGATCGTGCGGGAGGACAAATGCAATTCACCTTGCAGCCGCTCGTGTTATTGACAGATGGTCTGCGTGAGCCCTCTGGGTTTCGACCAATACCTGCAAAGATTCATCGACGCAAGTGGCGAAGTGACCTGATCTTACCTCTCCGAATCGTTGATCGCTTGAGTCATGTCAAACGAGGGTCGATTCCATCCATCAAGCTGTTTCGAGGCGGTAACAAACACAGTGATATGCCTATGGCATCAAATGGTCTCGTTAATCTAGAGTATGTGGTCAAGGAAGAACCTACACTTCACCGCTCCCTTTGTGGACACAAGGATTCGGTCTCTGGCCTGGCGAACCCACCAACGTGATTGTCATTGGACTCGTCTGCTCTGATACAAGGCTTCTCAAACCATAGTATGACTCCGGGGTTCCTCTGTTTCATCAAATACACACCTTGAGTTTGTGCATATTCCGCTAAAATTTTGACGAAGTCCTCACTTTTGTCATATACACGAGGCAGCGAGCTTCTTCGACACACAGCTATACAACCATTAGAAGTAAGGTCGAAAATGGGGTTTCGACTGTGGATATTGGGTTCCCGGAAACTAGCACAGAACTTGGAGACCGATTGTATTTCACAATCTGATGGCGAGTGGTCTCAGTAGTGATACAGTTAGCTACTAGGGGTACTCACCCAAGACGCGGCCTTACTGATCCAACATGACCACGGAGGTTGGAGCAACCCAGCGGTGGTGGGCCATCTTCGCGTCTGGCCCGATGCGTATAGCAGCTGGAAATGGAAAGACCGCAGAAGAATGGATGTACATGGCAAGGAGGTGTAACAGATGGCGATGAGCGGGGGACAGCAACGATAGCTTGAACGGAGAGTAATTGCAAGTCCTACCTGATAGATCTCAATTCTCGACATAATCCTAGTAGCGTCATGTAATGATCGGGGTGTGAGCTCGTTTCTGGCTACTTCCATCCGTCCGTACAGCGGTCCTGCATTATCGTCATCAGCCAAATTCATCGTTTAAATCAACAACTGGTGTGTGGGATCGTCGCTATACGGAGCCCATTCCTAACAGAAACCCGTGAAATTCTAGTGCTCACGACCATGACGGGGTCGATCCTCGCCTTGCTGTATACGCGGGGCAGTGAACTCCTTCACAATACCACTATGAGGTAGGTACAAATGCGTAGGACTCTCATGTCGTGAAGCGATGCACCTGCATGGGTATAGTGAACGAAATCGTAAAGTAGAGCTGCCGTGACCGAGTGAGATACATGAAAACGGGCATGGGATTCAAAAAAAGTGCCAGTCCATGACTCCGATGACAAGTGACTGCACGGGTGATGGGATCTAAATTCTTAGTGATTGAAGTGCCCATTCGCTAGGCGTCCACAGGCATCTAGTGCGACTGAATGGATTAGAGCGACCCGGCTATCGCTGGGTATCTCTACGTCACAGAGAGGATTGGTAGGACTCAAAATCCGGTTCTGCTCCGCAAATCTTATAAGAGGCAGATTCAGGGTCATAAAATAACGCACCAATTGAAGTACCCACCCCCTGTGAACCCTGGCTCATTTAGTGCCATAGCACGCATCGAAAGAGCCCACGATCACAAGGCGTTTCCTCCTCTGAAGGCAAAAGGGATGGCGAGAAGGGTAATTGGAGGATCGACGTGCACTGCAAGTCGACTGTCGCGTGTTGTTGCCATACTGTAAACTTGGAACGCATGCCAATGATGAGTTGGGAGCAGGGATTGCCAACGACGATCTGCTAGCTGTTTCTATTTGCCGGAGGGTGCGTTAGAATAGTCGATAATGTCGCTCGGTTGTGACCCACACCTTCTTAAAGCCTAGAACTACAAATTTGAACTCTCCCCCACCCCGCTCGTAAGGGTACCCTCCCAGGCGGATCCCCAGAAATGGATAGAGAGATGTCCCTCCCCCAGCTCCTGTATTTTTCCAACCCCCCATGTTACAACGACGGGAGCGCGAAGGCGACACTGTAAATAGGGAAGGGTGAGGGGGCTGGGCCTGCGACAGTGAAAGATGCGGTGGCCGATTTGGGGGAAGGGGGAGACATGGAGTACTGTGGTTTGGAAGACTCATGGACCTTCGACGAAGTGGGATGTGAAAATTTTAGGCGGGATTGTGGCCAAGTGTGGCATGTCAAGTTTACGGGCACGAAATTTCCCGCCCACTTCGCAGGATCATGCGAGTGACCGCCAGAAAAAAAAAACACCGCATACTTCGCTCTCAACGAGGGGGGAGGGGTGAATGATAGTATTGTCGTTGTCAAAAGAGGTGTCTGTCTGTTTATCAGGTCCACCAATCGAAGTCGTTACATTCAATTTGCGGAGTTCGAGCGAGGGTCAGCAGACCCACACCACTTCCGCGTAAGACCACTCCAGCCCACGTATTTGACGTCTCGATTATACCAGCACTTCTTGGGAACTTGCAGCGGCTGTCACTTCAGTCGCGACACCGGGCCTTATCTCGTTGAAGCATTGGGTACATGGAAAATGCACATTGGAGACTCCTGGGGATCTTCATCGCACACATCAAATCTTCGAATTTTCGAGTCGACCATCTGCACGCGATAGCGCATGTCAGCAACTTTAACGTCAGGAAGGGGGTCACCGAAGTCCTGTCCAGCTCCCGTTAGGTGCGCTTCATGGAAGACGCCACGGCGGTAGATTCCAGTAGCTTCGCTATGGAGAATATGCGGGTTTGGCTCATCGTAGAACTTACTTAACGCACGCCAACACACTGGCACCTTCTATTTCAGCTTGACCCTTCATAAGGGCGGACATGACAACTGGTCAAGGGCAGTACCCATTACGAGTCCCACAGGCGCAGCATGACTAGTGAGTGTCTCGGTTCACTCAAACACACCATTCGGAGGCACGATCGAATGAGGGTACTGACGCAGTCTGGGTTGACAGACAGATTTCCCGCTGGGATTTTTCCCCTGGACAGTTTCTTCGCAGTATTCGTCTTCTACCCACACGAAAGGGGATGAAAGCATCTTTGTGGCATTTGAGGACACACGCTGAGTTGCACTCCAAGCTCATGATGATGGTGAGCGACTTGCCTTGACTTTAGCGTGACGTGACATACCCCTTTTTCGCATGTCACGTCACGCAACTTCGGACTCGGCTGACTATCGCGTTTGCAGCAGCGCACTGCAGGATGGAGTATGGCACGTATATGGGCAAGCACCGTATACAGAGAGGAGAGCTTGACGATGATATTTCGTCATGCGTTCGGGTTTTGGCCAGAGCCAGAGGATCCAGTAAGGTGTAATCCCACTCGGTACAGCTGGCACCAGCCCGGAAGCAAACTGCTGTGCCATTCGAGGTTAGCGATAACGACGGTCAGAGACTTCGATCATGAGAGACCTACGATATGATCTCAGGAAAGCTCGTGTTGCAAGGTCGTTCCGGAAAGATAGTCAAGTGGTCTGGTGTGATCGTTGACGTCGCTCCGAATCTCTGGTAATAGAGGGAACTTGGAGTCCAACTTATCCCTCGCATTGGATTTGAACGTAGCCAGGATTTTCCGGGTGCCACTACGGAAACAGCTTGTGTATGTGGACCCACTGCATGGTACTTGAAATGTCAATTCGGATAAGCGCCAGCGCCGCCGCCGGGCTCCCTCTCCCTGTCGGAGCCCCAGATTTACACGACTCAGTTTTTGCATGCATAGTTCCTTTTCCCCCTTGCTATTGAGTATTCCAACCTCGCTCGGCCGCCTAAATTTTAGGCGTCGCGTGGGGTTTGTGGTATCTTCTTTTTTTCTTTCTTTCGCTCTGCAGTTTTTTTTTCGTGCTTGATGGATTCAGGAAGACTGCCCTCGTACAGGTCCTCGTACTTATTCAGGTTCCATCCGTATACAAGGGTCAGGCCCTCTGCTCGCGAGAGAGTGACGGTAGGTGCTAGCACCAGTACATGACTCGTTACTTGGGAATGCTGATGGTGACTAGGCCGTGGTGTACGCGTCTGATGAAGAAGGCTTTATCCCGTCGTATCAAACTGTCGTTTCTGATTCCGTGGGGTCTTAATTACATTCCCAAATATCCATGTGCTCATCTCCCTGGCTCCAGAATCCCTCTAGCATCATTGCTCGGAACCTGGACGATGCTGTCAACGTCATGCACTCTGTCGATGCGCCCCGGCGGAAACTGAGCACGTCCACCGTAGTGATAGTAAGTACAACTACTTTCATCGCAGGATGAACGAGATTCAGGATGCATTGCCTAGGATCTATCGTTGTTTATGTGTCGCAAGCCGTCCTCTGCCGCTTGACCGTGAGCACAAAGGGCTGATGACAGAGTTGATGGAACAGCTTCTATCTCATTTCGTGCCCTTGCGACGTTCATCCCATACCCACTTTTCCTTCGTCTAATCCTTCCTTTCGTCTAGCAACTTACGATCTCCGAACCACTGGTGTATGCAGTAAATCCACAGATTAATATATACGGCTATCGTCAAACGTTTACGGTTCGGTTTAAGGGCGTTTCCTTATACCCATTGAGCCGCTGTAACCCAGAGATGTACTAGCGGGAGGTCGGATTTGTCCTATCAAGTTGGGTATGGAAATCGAAAGGTGATAAGTTATTGACTGGGGTGAGTGATAGAAGTAATGAACGACTGGATCTGGAACAGAGGTGATAAGACGGTAAGATACACAATACAAGGGAAGCGATCATGGAATGAAACTGGCAATACGTGAAGGGGGACTAACTACAGGAGCGTGACGGTGTGAAACCAACTTGTGGTATGTACTATTCCACATTAACTCATTCCGCAATATGTCCCATACTTATTGTTCGACTGTCTAGGAATTCCGTTCCAGGATCAAAGGTATCATATTACCCCCGTTGGTCCTGGTATTCATTCACGAAATGGCGGCACTCAAGAGGTTGGTGACTGACAACTCTTCAATGACGAAGAACAGAGCGGACAGATCCACATCCTTAGTGGTACTCCGTGTGCAGCACTTGTGTCATAAAGTTGCCCAATGCCGTGCGCCGTCTCGTGCCTGATAGCGGGCGAGTGCACGACCCATGACCAGACATGGAGAGGCACGTCCCGAATGCGAGGTCGCCTCATATCGAACAGGCTGGTCCCCGTCTGGTATACTTGAGCCCTCGGTGACACGAACCATGATTCCGGAGTTGAAGTTGAATGCGGGCTGGCGATCGGGACAAAACGTCCAGCTACGTATCCTATCAAGTGTGATGGGTTGGATTGGTTGGGCTGAGGTACACCCATATACGATCGCGAGCGTAACGAAGGTCCCTGAATAGCTCGTGCTATTGTGTGAAAATGCCGGTGGTTGGACGAAGATGTCGTACAAGATGGCAAATGTGCCCGGGTATGGTTCCGAGGTTGAAGACAGGCTGTATGGTCAGTGTCTGTTGTCATTGTAGAGGGAGGTAGATTAATAGTAATTGATACGCAGGAAGACCTCACAAGCTATTCTACGGTGGTGTTTGTTTCAGGAGGAGCAGGACAGGTATGTTGTGCGATGGCATAAACCTGTACAATGCTCAATGATGGTCACAGGGAGATTTAGATCTGGGTGCGAGCAGAGCGAAGGTCATAGAACTCTTCAAGACCCGAAACCCCTGTACGTCTATCTCCATCCAAATTATCCCTTTCTCCCTCAAGGAAAGTGTCTCAGCATTTTTGACACTCCCCCTACCGCGATTCGCTCCTGTCCCGCAACAGAGTACCTACACACCATTACACATTTCTTCGTATTATGCTTTAGCAGTGAAAGTAAGTCTTTCCCCAGGGGTTACCTTGACACCCAACTGTCCTCAAATCAGCAAGGTACTAGATGGGGTTATCCAGCGCACAATGTTGCACGAATCTGGAGTGAAGACATCGATTTCGTCCGCTGACGCCATTTGGCGACTGGAGGTTGGTGCGATCGAGATCCATGAATAGTAAACTCTGTTATTATTTGGTGTATGTCACTGACTATTCCTCATTTGAAAGAAGGTTTGGCTGGCGACTGAAGTGCTGAGGTGTCTATATCAGGCAAGTTTGCCGCTTGAAAAAAGCGACCACCTTCGGAGACCTTTAGCATGACATTGGGCCGCTGGAATTCAGCAGGAAGTATAGCATTGGAGTTGGACAGGTGTAGAGAAGATATTCCAGGTAGACTAATAAAAACAATTTCCATTCCTTCTAGGATCATGGGATCTGATTCTCACTGGTAACGTATGCATGTTACAGTAAATGATATATCTTGTGTGGTCAACCGTTGAGGGTGTTCTACGATCCCAAAAGTCAGCTGGACCAATACAGTAGTCGTGTTCCCTGGGACTGTCCGAGTACGACCCTATCTTTCTTGTTCGATTCCGGTGGCGCTACCGAACTTCGAAGGTGGTTCGCTTTTTTGCGAAAGTCTCCCACGCAGTTCCACTCCATTCGCTGATCTTTTTCCGGGCTTTCCACTAGCTCCACATTCCCAACCCCTGATGACGGGCACTTTTGCGTCACAGGTGAAGTGGTGAGGAGTGATGTTCGGGGGTCGGGTTTGACTTGGGGTGTTGCACTACGGTCGTGAACTTCCTCGGTACTGCTCCAATAGGGTTTGCTACGCGTGGCTGAGTAAATATCGCTTCACTTGATAATATTCCTCCTATGACTGTCCTCTTAGGGTGAGAGTAACGTTTGCTCAAAAACATGGGTGGCGAGGGGTCGTTGACGGAGATCTTCGACGGAGATCTTTGATCACGCAGCTCCACCGTGTAAACTAGCAGTATCCTGTGGCTCGGAAGCTGGGTATGAGCGGACAGTTGCATATCGGCCTATGGCATAAAGCTCACTGCCGCTCTAAGCCAGAACGTCTGATCCGACGACTGCATTTTTCTGGAATCTCCTGCTTGCAATCCTCGATGACCCTCTACCAGAGACTGCGGGAGGAGCGTGGTTCCATCAGTTCATTGCCAGATAGGCGTGTCGGAACCGGTCAAGAGGAGCTCTGGATAACCAGTCGAATCGGAAAACGCGCGCAACACCATCATAATCCTCAATTTCAACTTGCTTTTCCTTTCCTCGGTAGCCGCTTGTGCCTAGTGGCTGAAGTTTTGTTGATGGGAATGGCAGAGACGCGATATAAAATGCACCTACTGCGATGGCGGGAGTGCCAGGTTATCGGTCAAAGCCATGTCAGCGTTCCCTTCGTGCATTCTTCCTTCTGAGCATGATCCTCGTCAATGGAGCAAATGGAAACGGTGGGCGATAGCCCTCGTAATCTGGAACCTCATTGCTCCGATGTAAGGCATTCAGCTTCGATACCATATTGGATTCCGAGCTGACGATAATCGTTCTCTCAGTGGAATAGCGAGTACGTTCTATGTGAGCTTGTAGAAGCTCATGGTACCCTTTTCTTTGCACTCATCAGTCATTCTATGTGTAGTCTGGAGTGCAAGGCAAGATACAGGAAGAGTTTGGCACATCGAATACCCTCGCGACTTTAGGCGTGGGGTTATACAATCTCGTGAGCTTAGCCTATCTCTCCTGTATTTATTATTCCAATGCTCCTCCTAGGGTGCTGTATTTGGAGTACTCTTCGGAGGACCACTGAGTGAACTTTATGGCCGTCGGCCGGTATATATCATCTCGTCTATATGTTTCGTTGGTATGCACTTCTTCCCATTCTTTGATGAATATGCTGAGTTTTATCAGTCTTTAGTTTCGGTTCGACACGTTCACCAAATATAACCACTCTCTTGATCTGCCGGGCGTTCATGGGCCCACTCGGGAGTCCTGTCTTCTCGATCTATGGCGGTTCAGTGACGGACCTTTTTACGCCGGAAGAGCGGGGTCCTGTAGCTGCATTATTTACACTCGTGTTACAAGGTGCCCCAACAATCGGGCCTGTTCCGTCATCTTTTTTACGGCCCTTCTTCCCTTGGAGGCGGTTACTCGATTTTATAACCATCTGGGGGGGGTTCTTGCTGCTACCACAATATTGTTTGTCCCCGAAACCGAGCCTGAAACAATTCGAAGGAAGATAGCCGAATCCGAAGGTGTCGTCCCAGATATCAAAGAAATAAATTCCTCCGACAAGTGGACAAAAGCACTACTTACGCCAATCAGTGAGCGCATTTTCTCCAATCCGTCTGTTTTTATCAGGTGCTCATCTACCTTCCCTTTCGTCTAGCCATACTTTGTAATGAACCGATCATGATCTGGACTACGCTGTACCACTCCTTTGTCTTTGGGCTCTTATTCCTTCTCCTCGAGGTGCGTAGGCTGTTACCGTTTTTTTTTTTTTTTTTTTTTTTTTTCTTTTTTTCAGAATCAAATTGATTTGTTCTTCTTAGGCGTACCCGTATATCTACGACACTTATTATTCGATGTCGCGAGAACAAGCAGGTCTGGTCTTCATTACCCCATTCACTGGGAATGTGCTTGGCGTTCTCGTATACTTTGGATTCCACAGGCCGCTATACGAAGCACGCCAGCGCAGAATCCAGGCCGAATCAGGTGGCAAATCAGAGATTGAGCCCGAAGCTCATCTACCCGGCGTTCTTCTTGCATCGCTTCTTACTCCCACCGGGCTATTTTGGTTGGCATTTTCCGCACAACCGGACATACACCACTTTTTCTCCATAATTTCTGGTGTTCCGATTGGAATGGGAATGATCCTCTTACAACTCTCGTTGTTCAACTACTACATTGACCTTTACCCAACGATGTCGGCGTCCGCTATCGCCGCAAACACTGCCGTCCGGAATATCGTAGTGACTATCATGCCGTGCGCCGGGGTGCCACTATACACTTCCTTGGGTATACGCAATGCGAATCTGCTGTTGGCATGCATCAGCTGTATGGGACTCCCAACTGCTGTTATTCTGTATGTCTTCGGAAGAAGACTTCGGGCGGCGAGCAGATGGGCCAAACAGGCCACAGATATTGGCCTGCTTCCGCAAATGAGCATCGAGGCCGCTGCCCCTTTGCTTGCACAACCCCCTCAAAATCACTACGGAGGAACTCATTCCTCCGAGTAGAAGTGTCACGAGTTATGATACTTGTTTTCCGTTTAACGTCCTTACGAACTTGATGTGCCACGTCACGACTTTAAACTTCAGCTCCATCGTTCACCAAAGAAAAATCTCAAGTCGGATAGCACTCCTTATTGTAAGTGTACAGTTTCGCAGTCTAAGATAGCCTTGGGTGGTTAGACATGCTTTGTACTCATCTGGCAGTAGGCTCCTTCGTACCTATATGGATTGTTTTGTAAATTTGCCACACCAGAATACACGCCATTGTCGAGCAGCGCACCAATACCGGAGGAAAATAGAAAGATGGTGATAGTAAACTGCATCACGAGTCCGGCACCTGCCCAAGGCACTGACGGCGATGGACGTACCACAAACACAACAGGAGCCGTTCCCGCTCTCAATTCGTCTGGCGATTGTTCAAGATATGACACTCTTTTTGAGGCTTCTGTATAGCCTTTCAATCACACGGGGATTCTTGACGCCCCATACAAAACTTGTCTTTGCCCTGTCATGTCGTTTCTCAAGAAAATTCGTAGCATTGTGAGTTGAGATGCTTTCGTTTCAACCATCGTGTGCGCTAGCAAGGTCGATTCGTATAAGAATAATAGTTCGAGCTACGGCTCCGATGGGCCTCCCTCCAGTCTTGCGGCGCAGTGATTTCAGATCTGCAAGTGTGCCAAGCACGGAGCAGTTTTCCTGGGACGGTGATCTGCCAGCTGTCTCAGTTCACCGAGGTGGAAGCTGGAAGTTTTACGAAGGGCCGTTCGAGTGCTACCACCAAACCAAGGTCTCCTATGAAGCTTCAAGCTGCTTTGGACTCTTCCCAGTCATGAAACGACCCACCCAGGAAATGGGGAAAGTGGTTTCCCCTCTCCCAGTTCTGCGCTCGAAGCGTCCATTTTTCCCGGCCAAGTTGTTTCGGTGTTGGATGCGCGAGGACGTTCTGGGAGTAGGAAGATAGGCAGTGCTTGACTCGAGATTGTGGAAGGAAGCTTAAATTTAACCAAGACACGAGATACTGTTGGAGTCTCGTGGACTTCAAAGAGAATCGACGAGGTGGCAAGTGATGGGCTTTTTTTTGGAGTGCGACATGCAGGAAACCACCAGTGGTGGGTACGTACATAACATATCTTTGACAAGCGTAGAACCACACGGGCAACCACCAGAGATAAATTAGCTGTCACTGCTCTCGAGGAGGGGAACTAACAGTATAGTGGTTGTCAAAACCCAAAAGATGTGTTTATGAGCTTGGTGGAACCCACCACAGTAGGGGTGAGCACACTCAGGACAAATCGCAACAAGACAGAACGTGGACAGGCATGTGGGATTGAACAACCGAGCGTACGCTCTGATACAGGATGATAGAGAGAGAAAGGAAGAGGGAAAAGAAGATATCCCTGCGCATACATGTAGCACCGATATATATACCCCCAGGATCCAAACAGTGCAACACAGCGAGAGGGATCCGCATGCCCAGACAAGGAGATAGGAGACGTGATAGTGCGGTGCGACAGGAGATGTGACAGCGTGAAGCAGTAGCGTGAGCATGAGTGACGCGTGAGTGGTAAGTGTATGCTTACACCCTCCCGACCCATAAAAAAGGAGCAACGGGGGGTGAGTGAGCTGTACGTGAGTCATTCTTCGTCAACGTCTTCTTCGTCAAAACCCGACCTCCAACTCCGTTCCTCAACCCAAACTTCTTCTTCTAAACCCGACCTCCAACTCCGTTCTTCAACACCCTTTATGGTGGGTGTTCCCTTTCCCAGATGTCCAGCGCCTCACAATCCTCCAAGTCCTTCTTCGTCAACCACTCATCATCCTCTGGCCCAAATCCTAACCACTGCACCAAATATTTCTTCGACCTCCCAGCCCGCTTCTCATCCACTATCCGCTCAATCAAGTTCTCCAACTGGCCGTCCGCTGTGACCACAGGGCCAGGGTGAGGCAGCTCGTGCGAGGGGAAAAGTGTCGTGTCATTGGGCACGAAGGCGCATAGTTGGCTAGCGTGGAATGTGCTACATGCATTTGACGCACGAGGCACGTCCAAGACATAGGTGGATGTATCTGGGGAAGCCGATAGGATGGTATATGGGCCATCATACCGTGGCATAAACTTGGCTACACGATTGGTACCATTAGTAATGTACTCATGACGACGATGTTTTGTAGATAACCAAACCTTGTCCCCGATTGCAAACCTCGGATCGGGGACGTGGCGATGATTAGCCACATGAGCCTGTGCTGCCTTAGCTGCAAGGAGATTATCGCATGCTTCCAGGACGTCCATATCTAGGCGAGCCAGAAAACTGGCTGTGTCGCTGTTTTCGGTCTCACCAGCCTCTGGAGCGGAAATGGGAGGCAGAAGACGAGGGGAGCGTCCCAGGTGAAGCTGGAAAGGCGAAAACCCTGTGCTGTTGTTAAGGGTGTTCATGATGTGAAAACGCACCTGAGGCAGGGCCTTGACCCAGCCTTTCTGATTACACTCGACGTGGAATCGAATGCACTGGTTGACGGTCTTGTTGGTGCGCTCACTTGCCCCATCCGTCTGAGGATGGTAAGATGATGACATCTTAAGCTTAACGCCCGTCAGTTTATGAAGCGATTTCCAAAAACGAGACACAAAAAGCTTATCACGATCTGATATGATCTCTAAAGGAAGACCGTTCTCGCAGTACCAGTGGTCAAAGAACAAGGAGGCGAACTCCGAGGCAGTGATGGAACTCCGACAGGGCACAAGACGTATATCCGCACCAAGGCGATCTGTCATCGTGACAATCATGTTGAAGCCGTGGTCCTCCGGCAGGGGACCAATGAAGTCGACAGCGACCGAGTCACCCCGAGCGTCTGGGACAGGCAAGGGGTGCAGCGGGCCCGCAGGTGCTGTGGTAGGCGACTTGTTGCGTGCACAGTGGGTGCAGGCAGGAACATACACGGATGTGAGATCACGATGCATGTTGGGCCAGTAGAAGGAGTTACGTAGAGCTGCGTAGGTCTTATCCGTGCCAAAGTGGCCTAGGGCGTCATGGGCAAGGTGGAAGAAACGTTCGCGAAGGGAGTGTACATGAGGAATTACCAGGCGGCCTGCAAGGTACAACAGACCGTCACGTTCCTGCAGGCCGGGAAGTGAATCGAGGAGTGAGAAAAGACGCCGGCAGAAGGGGTCTTCTGTGTACCCTTTCAATATTTCCACCGTTAACGACTTGTCTACCTCAACCGTTGACACCGCAGCGACGGGGGGAGCATCGTCAGAATGACGAGACAATGCATCAGCACCGACATTACGCTCGCCTGGAACATACTGAATAGTCAGGTCAAACTGTGACATGTACTCCTGCCAGCGAGCCTGATGCCGAGAGAGGTCGCGCTGTAAAGCAAAGTTCTGAAGAGTACGATGATCTGTATATACCAACACCGGGGCACCAAGTAGCTCGACCCTCCATTTCTTTAAGGCGCGGATGATGGCAAGGAGTTCCTTCTCATGTACAGGATAGTTGAGTTCAGCGCTACGAAGGGGTGTAGAATCGAATGCAACCAGCCGAGCCGTTTCCCAGGTGGGTCCCCAAGAAAGGATTGCCCCAGTACGGAAATCCGAGGCATCGCATGTAAGAAATATGTGATTGTCACCTGGATTATCGTGGTCGATGGTCGTCAGACAATGAGGACTGACCACGAGATCCTTGATGGCCTGAAATGCCTGCTGGTGGTCACTCGTCCACACCAGGAACTTGAGTTCTGCCACCTTGGTCGTCAACGTATTCAGGATGCGAGTGTGTTCCGTGAGATTGGGAAGGTGATCAGCGACGTAACGGACAAGACCAAGGAAGGCACGCATGTCAGTGACCGACCGTGGAACTGGCCAATCGAGAATCCTCGTGATCTTGGAGGAATCAGGCTCGATCCCTTGTGCAGAAATGCGGTGACCAAGGAAAAGCACGTCAGTGCAGAACAGCTGAGTCTTCTTAAGGGAGCAAAATAACTTAGCCTTGCAGAGAGCCTGCAAGACCGCACGAACATTTCGTTCATGTTCCTCGAGCGTCTGTGACCAGATGATAATGTCATCAAGATAGACATGGCAAATGCGACCTATCAGGTGACGGAGAGCAGCAGACATGCGACGTTGATGAACCGCAGGGGCATTCCTCACGCCCATGGGCATGACAGTCCACTCATACAGGCCCCAAGGTGTGTGTACAGCCAGCCACTTGATGTCATCTGGGTGGACCTTGGTCTGGAAGAACGCATTAGTCATGTCCAACTTTGCGAAGTACTTGCCCTTGGCACAATCGCGAAGGATCTCATCGATGCGGGGCAGTGGGTGATTATCTGGTACAGTGTTCAGGTTGAGTTGTCGGAAGTCGTTCACCCAACGAGGTAACGCTGTAGGATCTGCCTTCGGGATGATGAAGGCCGGTGAGGAGTGTGTGCTATTGGAGGGCCATAACCGCCCTGCATCGAGATGCTGTTGTAACAACGTTTTCCATGCCTCGCGGTATTTCTTTGGGCAATCATACGACCGAAGTTGGATGACCTTGTTGGCGTTTTTGGGCTGTACACGGAAAAGGACGTCATCAGGCAGGGCATCCGTGGGTGGAATATCAACAGGGAACCAGTCAGCGAACTCATGCTTGAGTCGCGCATCACGCTTTGTCAGCTCTTCTGCAGCGGCGAGAACCTCAATGCGGTGCTGTACCGCACCAATGATATCCACCCCACAGACCGGAGTGGCTGCCACCTCAACAAGTTCACGATACTTAGGCAAGACACCGCATAACTCTTCAAGAACCACATTCTTAAGTTGTTTAACTGCTTGAACAGTAGGAATCACTGGCTGCGAGGGAGTAGAGACAGGAACCGGGGGAGGGTTTATTAAGTCGTAACCAGTATCTTTATCCACACATGTACAGAGAGCGTGATCGATAACAAGCTGATTATGCGAAAGAAAAGGAAGTCCTAACAAGAGGGGAGTACACAGACAGGGCACAATGATTGCGCGAACAGAACGTGAA